CAGATTTTGGCATTGTCTAAATGCGCTAATGGCAGAGATTATTCACTTAATGGCTGTTATCATGATCACAGTGTGGATACTTGAGTAGTCACCAAAATCCTCCATTGTTCCAAATCAATCTATTTTCTCTATAAGGTCACAGGTTTATATTCCCATCCCTCTTGGCCCCCCATCTTTGAGAACAGGCTTAACTCTTAAAGGAGCTGGTTAATCTTGATGAGCTTTAGCTCCAGCAAGCCGAAGGCAGTCACTGCCCAACACGGTCAGGAAATGAGATGGATGAAACTATACCACCACACGTGGCGGGGCCACTATAGCTGTAGACAGAAAGGTCTACTGACTAGGCTAGAATGATCTTTCATTTAAAAAAAAAATTTTTTTAAAGATTTATTTATTTATACAAGCACTGGATACAGTCAGAGGCGCGGTAGGGTGAGAGAATTCACCAGAGCCAGAGCGGGGAGCAGGGCAGGCAGAAGGACCGAAGGACACTGCTGAGGGGAGCAGCGGGCGGCAGGAGAGGTCTGCGCGCCATGTGGGACCCTCCTCTGGTGGCCGGGGAGCAGCCGGGGATTGAACCGGTGCTGCAGAGGCTGCGGGCAGCTTCGCAACCCAGCGCTCAACCGCTGCGCCACCGGGGAGGCCCCTTTTTTTTAAAAAAATTTTAAAAAGATTTATTTATGCATACAAGAGCTGGGGTACAGGCCAGATGTGCGGGAGGGTGAGAGGATTCACCAGATGTTGTAGAGCAACCCCGATACAAAACGGGGTGCCTGGGATTAACTCAGGACATCATTTCCCCCTAACACAGAGACGGAGCGGGGAGCAGAGCAGGTGTATCTACTAAAATACACTGCTGAGGGGAGCAGAGGGCGAGACAGGAGGGGTCTGCTGCACTATGTGGGTCAGCTCCCTGGCCGGCCGGGGGATCAAACTCATGTTGCAGAGGCTACGGACAGCTTCATAGGTTGTGTCTTAACCCTTGTGCCACCTGGGAGGCCCTAGAATGATCTTTTATTACAAAGGACAACCCATCACATTTGAGTAGAAATCTATACAATGAAAATAAAATGTGTTCTTCATACTATCTCAAAGCAGTTTTATTTTATTTATTTTTTTTTTGGTGGGACCCTTGCCGGCAGCCGGGGAACGAACCAGCCCTGCAGAGGCTGCGGGCAGCCTCGCAGCCCAGTGCTCAACCGCTGCGCCACCAGGGGAGGCCCTCAAAGCAGTTTTAATTCTAACACTAGGAGGCTAATACCAGAAAACCTTGAAATATTTATAGATCCCCTACCAGAATCTTAACTTATTCAAGGAAGGATCTTACCACTGAAAATGAGGTTTATTTATTTAGAACAAAGTTTAATATAGTGCTTCATACTGGAAATAAATCAGAATGCAGTGAATAAATGGCAGAAAAGCATCGGTTTAACAACTGAAATTATAAATGACTTTATCTAAACAAGTCCCTGAGGGTGAAGACCAGATAAACAACTGATGGCTGATGAGAACTGTTTGCAAGTGATTCAAGCCTCAAATATACATTTGTCCCGTCTGAACTCTCTAAGCACTGTCTTTTTTAGGGACTGTAACATGCATCTTGTAATTTTAGTTTCTTCATAGCAATATAGTCTGTGGAAATAATCATTCATTAAAATGGCCAGTTTGGGACTCTCTGGTGGCGCAGGGGTTAAAGTATCAGCACTATTAAGCTATCACCAGCCGCTGCAGCAAGAGTTTGATCCCTGGCCAGTGAGCTGACCCACATGGCGCAGCAAACCTCTCGTCTTGCCTGCTGCTCCCCTCAGCAGTGTATTTCAGTAGATTCACCTGTTCTGCTCCCCACTGTCTCTGGTGAATCCTCTCACCCCCCGCCCCACACCTCTGGCCTACACCCAAGTTCTTGTATACATAAATAAATCTTTAAAAAATAATAAATAAATGAATGGCCAGTCTTCCCCTCAGTAAAACACATTATAGAAGCCACATCAAAATTCCCACCACTTAAATTTCTAAAAGCTTAAAGATAAATTTGCTACTGTTAAATGTACTGAATTTTCATAGGTGTAAAATGTTTTCTTAAAAATGGAGGAAAAATATTTCACAATTACTAGAAAGAGCAACCATATCGAGTTATATATATTATGAAAGTGCATTCAGAGTCCGGGGTTTTATATCAAAAGCACTCAAGGAGGCAAATAAAATATTGCGAGTTGGACATGATCCCAAGTTTTCTTCTGGTAAACCCACAAGCTGTCCCACAAACCATATTTGCACCAGTATTTTGATTGTAGGAGGACATCTGAAAGCTGTGTCCACAAGTCTAGTGGCTGCTTTATCTCCTACAAGGTAAGCTTCTCTAGTTTTAACTTTTCATCTGTCACACACTGGCACTTGTCACTTTGTGTAAGTTGCTGCTTCTGAGTATAAACAAGGAGATGCTGACACTAACCAGAGCACAAAGACAGCCTAGTCAGCTGAGGATTTTACTCATATGCTGTTGTAACCTCAAGTCAGTGAATATTGTTCCTTCTGGTGTGACCTTGACTCCGTGCAACAGAAACAGGCTTTAAAAACTCAGTTTGGCTGGATGCTGTTACCTTTTAAACTATATTTGCTATTTGACTTCATGTGCATAAACATGCCAGACGACGCCATCAGTCCCTATCAACCTTTGGCCTCATGGCTAAGAACCTCACAGAAAGCTCACGAATGTGGAAATGGGTTCTCAGAGAGCTTTGCCCCTGCCCTTCGTAGTTGTCATGTTCTTTTGAAATGCGTATTATTAGAAATACAGCTGAGCAGGGTTATTCACTGTCCCTGGGGAATTTGGTTCATCTTAATTGGCCGATGTGGAAAGGAGACTTGATGGGCCAGCAGAGGAGGCTGCAATGCCAGCTAGAAAGAATGTCATCCAAAGAAAGCTGGAGGAAGGGTCAAAGGTAAAAAGTCCCAGAGACCTTGCTGCTCAGAGGAGGGACCAGTCTCCTGGCCTGGCCTAGGTACCTTGCAGAGAGTGACGCATTAGGGGTGGGCGTGGGGTGGGGTTCAGGGAAGGGCTGGAGGCTGCATGAGGCCCAAGAGTAGGTTGGGCCCAGCCAGGTATCATCCACATAACATGAGGAAATCTGTATTTAAACTCTTTAGGAAGCTGTTTTTAGACCCAGTATATTTTGTTGGCTAACCACCAGGCATGTAGCACTTAGAAAATTTCCACCACACATAGCTACAAATTACTTTGCCCTTTAAAAGAGTAAGACTTCAGTTACCCGCATAATTTACAAAAGCAGAACATTTTACTCCCTGATGAATCCATACAAATATAGTGAGTGTATTTTTTTGTCATGTATAAAATCTCTTTTATCCTTTTATTTTCATGGGGTAATGCACAGTGAAGCCTGTTTTTAAACACAGTAAGAGTGTCATGTAAAACTGACAGCAACAATCATAACATACTCTTTCATTTTAGGGTTTTCTTTTTTACTTTTTCTGAAACCTGTGCTTTTTTTGTATTTATTCAACATACATCCATAAATATTTTCATGCATGCGCTAAGGACTAAACACTGTCATATTCTATCTTACTACCTCTAGGGTTTTTAGCTACTTCAAATCATTTAAAAAACAAACATTTCCCCTCATCGGATTATTTTATTTATTTTTATTTTTTTTTAAAGATTGGATAGTTCATTTTCTGATGTCCTTTCATATTGGCTAAAGCATGTAAGTTGAATTTTCTTAGCAATGGGGATGTTTTTTTTTAAAAAAAGATTTATTTATTTATTTATACAAGCACTGGGTACAGTCAGAAGCGCGGGAGGGTGAGAGAATTCACCAGAGCCACAGCGGGGAGCAGAGCTGGCAGAAGGACCGAAGCACACTGCTGAGGGGAGCAGCAGGCGGCAGGAGAGGTCTGCGAGCCATGTGGGACCCTCCTCCGGTGGCCGGGGAGCAGCTGGGGATCGAACTGGTGCTGCAGAGGCTGCGGGCAGCTTCGCAACCCAGAGCTCAACCGCTGCGCCACCGGGGAGGCCCAATATCTGTATTATTCTTATAAAGAATTATCTTAATTCTATTCCCCTTTATGAAACAAAGGCTCCTTAAAAACAATGAAAGGTTTGGGAAGCAAATGCCTTGGGAATGCCTGACATGAATTAAGTCAGTTTTAACATGACCATTTTCCATTTTCTCTGAACATGGGCCTGCTGGTGTAGCAGAATATAACTAGGACCGATCGATGAAATTCCGTAAGTTGTACTCAGAGGAATACAATCTTCTAAAGACTGACAGTTTAATTAAGACAAAGCTAAAATATTTATACCTGGTGATGATTTAAATAAGAACAAGAGACTTAAGGTAAACTGGCTTCTGAAGGTCATTAATACAGACAGGATGAATGGCCTTACTTTCTACAAAAACTGTGATGTGAAAATAGGAAAACACGATTATTAAACATGATACAGTTAAAAACAAACAAGAAAGAAAAGGCCCCAAAGAAAAATTGTTTTGCACAGTATTTCTCAAAGTCAAATTGTGTGATGTTTTACCATTAAAATCAATAGATAAAATTTTATCTTTTGGCTTCCAGATGGAATTTTAGAAAAAACCTTGCAAGAAAATTGTTCTGAAAGTGCTTCCTCTTAAGTTCTTTGGTACAATTTGGACACTTGGTGATAGTTATCAACCCATTAAATAAGTACTTTAACAGACATGTATCAACAAAAACGCAGTAAGTAGAAATGTTTAGAAATCTACAATTGAATAAGTTACTTTTTTGACCTCACAAAAGACAAACTGTAAAATTTTACTTGTGGCAAAGATATTCCTACCAACCAGAAGAACATCTCCAACCAGAATTATATTAGAGAAACTTTACATAAAACATTTTCTTGATTATTAGAATAACTGCTCTATATACTTTTTTTTTTAAGTAGAAGAGGCAACTTTAAGCTTGAAAAGAGTAATTTTGAATTTCAAAAGGTGTACTCTAGTGCTTTCTGATTCAGTGAGTGCCCATATCTATTTAATGTCAGTTACAACATGTTAAGGATTATTCTTTTATTTCAGGATACAACTAATTTTCCTCCTGAAGCATTTTCTCTATTTCCTTATCCCAGTTTTCATCTCGTTTCTCTGATTCTGCTACCACTTCATATTCTTGAAGTTCTTGTTGCAGTTCTTTTTCCCAGTCTGCAGAATCCTCTGAAAGAAACATACGAAAAGATTGTCTCTGAATTCATAATGCTGGTTTTAACAATTTAGCTATAATTATCTATGTGAAGTTTTAGCCACAGTAATTTTCAATGTCTCAGGTTGCATCACTGTGTGCACTCCAGAAAAGCTGAACAAATTTGAACAGTGAACAACGAGAAGTATGATTAGAAAGGTATTTGTTAAATGTAGAAGCAAAGGTATCAGACATCATCAGTAAATGTGGGGAATTTACTTTGCTTCACCCAGGTCTCCACTTGTCCATCTATTTAAATGGATAATTGATAATATGTGGCTGCAAAATATTTTACCGATAACGGTGATGATGGCAGCAAAAACAGCTAATGCCTCCTTAGCACTTTCTGAGCCTGCTACTGGGCTAACTGCTTTCTACATATCACTCTTTTTTTTTAAAATGTCATCATTTATTTTATTTATTTATTTATTTATTTTTGTGGGACCCTCGCTGGCGGCCGGGGAATGAACTGGCGTTGCAGAGGCTGCGGGCTCACAGCCAGCGCTCAACCGCTGCGCCACCAGGGAGGCCCCATATCACTCTTTTCATGCTTAGAATGATCCATGAACTAGCTAGCACTATTACATGCATTGTACATGTGGAGAGGTTAAATGACTAGCCCAAGGCCACTCAGCTTGACAGCAACAGACATTCAGATGGAACCAGATCTGCAGGCTCCTCGGTGTGGGCTTAATGAACAGGGTAGCAGCAGTCTCCTTGGAGTGGCAACAGAGCTGGGGACCTGAAATCAGGCGGTCGCTCCTGAAGCCTGGCTCCTCACTGGGGCTCCATTTGAGCCCCCAAACTGATCTTCACGTTGAGATAGAAAACTGTCACTTTCCTCTCGGACACTCAATATACCTGCACGTGTGTACTCATATGTATGTATAGAAGGCAGCTGCTATGCGGTTATAAAACAGCAAGTAAACCAACAGGTCAACCATTTAAAAAGAAAACAGAAGCCAAATGTTTTCATTTTGTACAGCAGCAACCTCATGGGAAGATTGTTGGGTTGCAAACTACCAAGTTCACAAATGCCAGGTATTTACTGGGTACTAAGCTCCATGTTAGAAACTGCAGGAGATAACAAGGTGTAGCTGCCCTTGAGGAATTTACAATTTAGCTGGGGGGTGGGAGGTGTTAAGGCATCTATTATATAGAAGAATATTAAATGGTCCAAATAAAACTAGCATGGCATTCTGGGAAAGAACAGCTTGCCTGGAGTGGCCAACCCGAACCAGGGCTCCTTCCAGCCTCCTGCGAGGCCCCTGCTAGTGTCATCCCCAGCAACCATGGAAGCTGTGTGGAGTTGTGCCAGCTGATGCCCACAACACCCAGGGCTCATGCCCACCTTCCTTGCTCAGTGGCCAGCAGCCCCCTCTATCAGAGAGGTGCTGGGAGGTATCTGAGGGCCTGGCCAGCCTGGGTTTTTTTTTTTTTTTTTAAAGATTTATTGATTGATTGATTGATTGATTGATTTATACATATATGCATACAAGCACTGGGTACAGTCAGAAGCGCGGGAGGGTGAGAGAATTCACCAGAGCCAGAGCGGAGAGCAGAACAGGCAGAAGGACCGAAGCACACTGCTGAGGGGAGCAGCGGGCGGCAGGAGAGGTCTGCGCGCCATGTGGGACCCTCCTCCGGTGGCCGGGGGGCAGCCGGGGATCGAACCGGCGCCGCAGAGGCCGCGGGCAGCTTCGCAACCCAGCGCTCAACCGCTGCGCCACCGGGGAGGTCCCAGCCTGGGTTTTTACTTCCTCCCTGCTTGCAGCCCCTGGGAGGCGAGTGTTCTCACACGTACTCTGCACAACTGAGGGAACAGCCAGCCCCCCGAGAGTGCCAAGTCTCAGAAGGCTCCTAAGCCACTCTTCATTCAATGGTGACTGATGCAGGCCTTTGCTGTTCGTCGTAACTTGTCCTGTTATCCCCAGGAAAGCAGCCCCCGCCCCCACCCTGGACTTGTTTTCTGAATTACTTAATGTTTCAGAAGGCAGCCCGCCCCTTGCCAGCGCAATGCTCCTGTGACACACAGCAGCTCGGAAAGGCTCTCCAACACCCAGTGCAGACCCAAGTGAGGCTCCAGCCTAGAGCGGCAGGCCAAGGGCAGCACCCTGTTGAAGGACGAGCACACAGCCCCGCCTGCTTGGGACAAATGACTTCACCTCTCTGGGTCCCAGTTTCTCCTCTCTATGCTTCTGTGCAAGCTTAGGGCCGAGGGGCCTGGGGTCTGCGCACATCTGCCCAGCACCCACCTTATAGTGGGGAACAGAGGGGCAATTTTGAGGCCAAAGTAACAACAGATTTTTATGTATACGCTGCAGGAGAACAATGTTCTACCATCAACTTTGAATTGGGGAAAAGAATTGTTTGCTGGGTACCTTCCAGTGCAGCTGTCTCTCCCTCCTTTTTGTCCAGCACCAGCTGCTCCATTTCCTTCCTCAGGTCCTCCTGGTCTAAGTTACAGGTGTCGAAGGCATCACTGACAAACTCAGAAACACCTGGGCTGGTAGAAATTTCCTCTTCATCCTGAAATGCAACAAATGAACTCTGGAAATGGGGTCTGAAGCGACACATGCCAGAGCCCTCGTGCTCAGGCCACGACCTAAAGCAGAGTCTGTAGTTCCTAGTCCGATGGGCGCTGCTCTCCAGCCTTCTAACCTTCCAAGCGTCAGGGCTCGAGAACTAGAGCAGTCACAGGGAAAGCGAGGGTGCTCACTCCCAGTTTGGGTGACTGCAGCCATTAATCCAACCCCCCCAGGAGCTTATCTAGGATTATGGCAGGAAAGCGCCTGTCTCAGCTGTAGGTCCTTAACTAGGTAAGAACTTGACCCGCTCCAGAACAGGTAAGACCCACAAGAATGTGAACGGTATCTGAGATAGTTAACAGTTATTTCATTTTCACACAACTACTAGGTACAACGTAAAACTGTATTACCTCTTGAGTTTTAAGCTGAGATTTGATTACGACAGGTGGCGTTTTGGGCCGTACTGCCTCTAAGAAGTGAGAATAAGAGAGACAATAATTGCTTGATTCAATTCGGAATGCATATTTATAACAACTAAAATATCCACATATGATGATACTAAATAATTTTCAGAAATGAGCTTTTATGTTAAGCTCCTTCTAAGTTATTACAAGAAACAGCCATGAGAAACCATCTCAACCTCTATCTTAATGGAGATGTTTTTAACACGCCATCATATCTGATGCCCCCTTTATAAAATTTCCAGCAAGAAATAATTTTTGACTTCAGTTTTGGCAAAATTGATTGCAAAGTAGTTCTGCTCTTTCTTTATGATAAAGAGAATGAGGTTCTTTATCCAGTTTCCCTTTGGTCACGAGGGTCAGAGAGCACAGCGTGGCATCCTCAATCACGGCATCTCCTTGTTCTCAGGCGCTGCTTCCTATCTGACTAACCTTACCAGAGGAACAGTTTTTACTGAGCACAGTCCTCAAGCCCATTTTGTGACACAGGAAGCATTTGGTAAAAGGGTATTTTCTAACATAATTAATAAAAAGAAATACTAAAGAATGAAAGGCAATTGGGATTTGTATTAATAACTATATGCAAAGTATCAGATTTAACTGAGCAGAGCAACATCAAAACCGAGACCTAGGGTCAGGACCCGTCCTGCACAACCCATGCCTGGGACTCTGTTTTGCATAATCATTTAAAATCCCATGAAGGGCCTGTGTCCCACTGTAACTGTAACAGGGTGGTCCCCAGGAAAGGGGGAAGTTCCAGGGCAGGGAACCAGGGCAGGGAACCTGGAACTTCCCCCTTTCCTGGGGACCACCCTGTTACATAACTAGCACCTATAGCCGGTACTCATCAGATGTTAAAAATAATTCACAAAATACATTTATTTTAGCTGTTTCTACTGTTGTTAAATCTCTGCTAATATTATAAAACACTTTCCCCAACAACTAGGCGTAAACTGTCACAGTACAAAGAGGTAAAATGTTTAATTTAATGGTGCCTAGTTCCGAGTCAGACGCTTGTTAAGTTGGAGTGGAATGGAGCTTGCTTCTGAGGGGATGACACCTGAGAATTGTGTCATTAGGTGATTCTGTCACTGTGTGGAAGCACACGAGAGTAATTCTTACGCCCGCCTGGATGGCGGCGCCACCCCCCACCGGGCGGTACAGTACAACCTGTCACTGATCAAAATGTGAAGCGATGCACGCCCGGACTGGGAAAACCGCAGGGTGGGTGGAAAACTGAGAATCAAGGCGGGGAGAAGGGACTGGGGGAGGACAGAGGGGCAATGTCCCAAAGTACAGGACAAGGGAAGAGATGAGATGATTAAGGGAGAAATAAAGAGAAATAAAAAAATCTGAAAATGAAAGAAAGCAAAGGAAAGGAAAGACGTGTGAATGGAGTGAGAGAAAGGGCTACAAGAATGAACATTTCTTCAGGAAAGAATGTCTCATTAGATGAGGGTGACGTTTCTGGTACATTCGAGATGACAAGCTCATGAGAGTCTCCAAGTTAAGAATATCCTGAAAGTGACTTTTTTTTTAATTCAGTAATTTTTTCTTACATTGTTGTTAATTTTGGGACAATATATGGCTTCTCCCCTCAGGTGTGGTCACCAGAGCGTGCTCTGAACGTACCTGGCAGGGGCAGCTCATCCTCTCTGCCCAGGCTTTTCTCCTCCTTCCCCACAGCTTGCTGCTGGGCGGCCAGGGCCGTGAGCTGGGCTGACTGCTTGATCAGGGAGACGCGGTAAAAGTAGTTCCTCCAAAACACTTCTTCCTTCACGCTTTTAAAGACAGACAACACCACATTTGAGACTGCGCGCACACAAATGCACCAGGGCTTCTTTGCTGTAGTGGAGACTAGAATAGATGATTTTTTTAGGGGCATTTTCAATTCAAAGGACATTCTCATTTGCCTTTGAATGAAAGCTGAGTACAGGATGCGAATAGCTATCCTCTCCTCTCCTCTCCACAGCAGCGGAAACCAAGGAGGCCTCAGTGTTTCTTGGTATTTTCACAAGTGCACCGCTGCCCAGGGAGGAAAGCAAGCGGCCCCGAGATGCAGAAGCAGCACCTCCTGCCCTCTAGCTGGGAGAATGAAAGCAGGGCCAGATTATTCGCTGTTTACCAGAGGCTTAAGTGCTTGCAGGCAGTGAGAAGAAAGGATTGTGGGTATTGTTCATTGTGAAAGGAAATGTTTGGCAGCTTGCAAATAACTACGAATCAATAGGAGCTAGCAGGGAGGAGAGAGGCAAAAAGACTGAAGTGCAGTCCAACCTGAGACCAGCGGTTCTCAAATCTGGCTACAATCAGAATCGCCCAGCTTGGGGTGTTCTGGCCAAGTGTCCACATGGGGGCTGGGAGGTGGTCTGCAAAGGGGAGTGAGATGTCTGAACAGGCCAGAGGGTGTCTGAGCAGGGGAGGGGGCGGTGGCAAATGGAAGGTTGCTTACACATTAAGTAAAAATGCTAAGGGTGGTGGAATCTCGGTGTCACCATGAGAAGGGAGGCAGGCGCAAACATGAAGAGGGTAAGTGCTAGGATGATCCCTGCTGTGGGGAATCACTATGAACACATGGCTTTCACTCAGCAGAGATGCAAGTGAGTGAGTGTATGTGAGTGTGTGTGTGTACATGAGCACACTCATATTCCCTAGCTGTCCACAAGCAGGCCAGGCACTAGTAATGCCCCAAAAGCAATGAGCATACCCAGTGCTCAGATGTTGGTTTATAAATACCACTGTCCACTCAAAGGAATCAGCGGTCCTTGGACAAATGGCTAATTCCCGGTTTAGAGGAGGGAAACAAGATGACCCTGGACTCTCTTGTGCCAGAAAATAAGGACGCGCTGGAAGAATAGAGGGGGGATGAGTGAAAAGGACACAGCAGGCAGCTTGAATGGGCCCACCGGCCAAACCTGATACTCTGAGCATGAGATGCCAGCAGTGGGTTGTAACTCCAATACGACAGGACCGTGCGTCCACACAGACACAACGCATGACCCCACCACCAGGTACAGGAGGAATGGAATACTTACGGTTTCAGAGTACATCCCTAGAAAATACCTATCGTCTCAAAAAAGAAAGGAACAATCTTCTAGTCAAGAAGCCAGGCAGACACCACCTTCATCAAGTGACCAAACTACTGGGACAAAGTGGCAGTGTGCACCACCTGACAGGATGCAACAGATTGAAGGAGGCTGGTGAGGCACTGAAACAGTTTGACCTGCATCCTTGTGCTGCAAAGAATATCATGGGGACACATGGTAGATGCAAGCAGAGTGTGGGAATCAGAAGGCAGTCACGTGAGTGACCACTCACGTCCTGATTCAGCTGGTTACACTGTGGTCATGGAGGAGAATCTTGTTCATAGGAAATACATTCGAAAACACTCAAGGGTGATGGGGCCTCACGATTCAGAAAAAGAGCTCTTTACGCTGCATTGCCAGCCTTTCAATAAGCTTGTGATTATTTCAAAATAATAAAAAACACTGGTAACTACGTCATCTCAGAGCAATGAAATACAAATCTTGAGTGAAGACAAAATAAGACTGCATGCGCGCACACACACACACACACACACACACACATGCACGCACGCCCTGAGGACAGCGAAGGAAGGGCCAGCTGTGGTGACCTGCAGATTCTGTGCAGGGTTTCTGTCTGCCTGGAGCAGTCACTCATTTTGTGTTCTAACAGTGCTTTGCTGGTAGACATGACAAAAGGGTAGAAGGAGCACACTGAGGTGCAGGCCAGAGGTGTGGGGGGTGAGAGGACTCACCAGAGACAGAGCGGGGAACAGGCAGACTGACTGAAATACACTGCTGAGGGGAGCAGCGGGGAGACAGGAGAGGTCTGCTGCACCTGTTGGCCTATTTTCACTTTAACTCTGAGCTCTATGAAACGTCCAAATTGAAACAAGTTTATGGTGGGTCACGGGCAATGTTTGCCCTCTTACTGGAAACAAACATTTGCATTGTTTTCTTTTCCAGTCTCTCTCTTGCTGCATGAGAAGGTGGTCACAGGGGCACACGGTGGAAATGGCTGCCCTCTGCGGAGTCACAACGCAGGTGACTGAGCGTGGTAAAGAGATCCATCAGAAGTAGTAAGTCTCAAACTGACCACTACGTTCCCGTGGACTGTTCTGGCATTAGCATGCCATGAACACCCTCTGAGAAGCAATGGGCATATGTCACAGTCCGAGTTGGAATGAATGTGTGATGTCCTGACTGGCGTCAAGACCCAGGCATCAGAGGGTGCCTGTGATGCAACAGCAGGGCCCCGTCACATGCCAGCACTGCTGTCACAGGTAAGTGCTAATATACTAAGTCATTTGGAAAGAAAGAACAAGTATTTGCTTTATTTTCTAACTTATTCCTGGTTAATGATAGGTGCTGTTCAGAAAAAGTATCTCAAAGGAAAAGTTTAGAAGTCCTGTTTGTGTGTGAGCAGAGAAGACTCTGCTTCTCGCCCTCAGAGAAGAGCAAGGTGCGTCCATTCATAGTGAGAACAAAGCACGACGAAAAAGGCATTCCCAGCAAGAAGGGTGCGCTGACTCAGAAAGTGTGCACATTCAAACCAAGGGGCCGGAGCCAGGACAGGAGTGGGAGAACCCAGGCAGGCAGGCAGGCAGGGAGCCCGAGCCAGTGCTGAGGCCAGGTAGGGGTGTCACAGAAGCCACGCTTGAGCTGCAGCTGGAAGGACAAGTGCGACTTCCAGAGCGAGGGCCTTCGGCAGGAGGAAGGGCCGCAGTGGGGAAGAGAAAGGCACTGCAGCTGGCGAGCGCGCCTGAGTGGAAAAAGAGCAGGTGGGGTCCTGAGGGCAGGGAAAGCTCACTTTCTTCAGTAAGGTGGCGGCATGTTCGTTGTTTCTGTATTCTCAATTCGCCCATCTACCTTCTAACCTGGGATCAAGGAGTGCATCTTATCTGCATCCTAAATTTCTGGAAAAGTCCATTATCAGTATGGATTCTGAAGTGTGCCTGTGTATGTGCGCACATGTGTGTGTGAGTGTGAGTGTGTGTGTGTGTGTGAGAGAGAGAGAGAGAGAGAGAGAAGAGGGTGAGAGAGAGAGAGATGGGGAGGTGCTGAAGCTCTGAGAGCCAATTTTTATGAGCACCAAGTATGAGGCTGTCCTGGCCCCATTCCACGACCCCTCCTGTCGCTGCACACACAAGCACGGCCGACAGAACACACAAACAGCTGCTGTGCGCGTGCGCCACTAGGGTTGGAGAACAGGCTGCTTACAGTTTGGGAACCAGGGCGAATCTCATCCTGCTCAGCAGCTCATCCTCTTGGAGCATGACCAGGGCCACGGGGTACATCTGGTCAAAGTCAAAATTAAACTGCACACCAGCTGGAGGGTCGCGAAGGAAATTCCTCTTGTCCTTTGAAAAACGGGAAGAACGTGGGGAAAACCACAGAATGCAATTAGGCTGTAACAATGCATCATTGATTTTACAAATACTGAATTCATCTGAAGACGTCAGCCACAAAGAGCACCGAGTTATCGTTAACCTGGCCACGTAAGAGCGCACAGAGAATGACTCTGCTCATATAGTTCCCAACGCTCTCAACCGGAGAGAGCCTCGTAGGAGGCCAGGATATTCAATCGTGCCATCATTTGGAATGCTACAGCTTGAAATCACCGTGGGTCAGCTCCCTGGCTGGGGATCAAACTCAGGCCTTAGGGGTGATAGCACTGAGATTTAACCCCTAAGCCACCAGAGAGGCTGCCGCTTTACCTTCTGATGCAAAAATGTCAATGCCTGAAATTGCCCCAATGTTTCCCCTGGGCTTCTAGCGAGCAACTGTCTCCAACCCACAACCCTCGTCACAGCAACATTCGTTCCACACTGCCCCAAGAAAAACATTTTACCTAGAACTGGAATATTTCAAGGACTTCTGTTGCCTCTAAGATAAAATCTAAAATTGTCAGAATGGCTTAAAAAGGCCTTCATGATCTGGCTCTTCATCCACTTCTCCACCTTCATCCTACAGTCCAGTCACACCTAACTGCCTCCAATACCCCTACCTGGACATCCAGCACTACCCCCACCCCCACATCCTCCTCCTAAGACTCAATGACTCCAGGGTCACTGCGCCTCAGAAGCTCCCACGGGAGCATCCTTTTCCCTTCGCCCCAGCGCCTGTGCCCTGGCACTAACCACAGGGAGGAAGGGTGTTGCTGTCTCCACTGAGCAGCTTAGCAAGTTTGCAGACTCTTGGGGGAGTGTCTTTTCTCTCAAGTCTGAGGACAAGGCTTGGCCCAGAGTAGTTACCAAAAACAATCTGCTGATGGAGTGTGCTCTCACAAGCCCCAAATGACAACTGCACGATCGGCTTCTTTTCATGTACTATGTGGCCCCAAATAGCTCCCCATTTAAACAGGGAGTTGAAAGGGCCACTCTACCCTACTCTGCATTGTCCCAAATGCATGCCTGGCAAGACAGAGAATGCAAGGCAACTCTGGCACAGCTCGCGAATTGTCTCCCAGAATTCATTTCTTCCCTCCTTTCTTTTCGGACCACAACTCTGAGTTCCAGCTGGGCACGTGGCCAGGTGGCCAGAGACTGGATTTCCCAGGCTCCCTGGCATCGAGGCCATCTGGGGATGGCTGTGTGCCCCAAGCTACCAAAGAGATGTGGGCCTGAGTGACAGGTGCAGTGTCTGAGTCTCATCCTTCAAATGGTCTGGCCTGCTCACATCCTTCCCACTCCCCACGGCTAAAAGGCAGCCATGGCCACAGGAAGCTGGCTCGCCATGTAGAAGTCACACCACATCAGTCTAGGGTGGGTGTGAGAAGTAGGGCAGGAAGAACTTGGGTCTCTAGATGACTCCACAGGCATAGCACACCTACCTGGACCATTCACTTCCGGACTGTTACATGAGGGGCAGCGAAAGACACAGCTTATTTTTCTAAGTATTTCTGGATGTCTTCACTAGAGAAATTTAACCTATCCATTAACAAATCCATCAGCCATCACAAAAGCTGTGCTGAAGACAGTGTCAAAGCCTCTCTGTCGTGGTGAAATTGTGCCACTTCGGTGTCAGCTATGTCTGTGTGCAGCGCTCAGTGCATTGCGTTCAGCAGAGACTCGCTCAGTGCCGCGTGCTCCAGGCGCGGTGCCACCTGCTCAACAGGGCACAGCACAGGAGTACCTGCCTTTGCGATGCTTACATTCCCTCCCGTTAGAGACACGGTATTGACATTGGACTGGTAATGGATGCTCAGGCCTTTAAAGAGCTAATGGAAAGGAAAAAAAATGTCCCGGAGGATGGCAGCGGAAGGGCGGAAAAGCCCAGCTCTATCCTTACAGTTGTTTTCTAGACTGCAGTCCCATTTACAACTTTGATTATTAAAAAGAAAGTAAAAGAATAGGTTAAAAAGTTTGAAAACCAATGATATAATGAAATGCTCTACTGGCTCAGTCCCATGCCAGGTGGGGAGCTGTGTGTGGAAAGATCAAAGCCAGCCTCTGCCTGCTGAGAGTTCACAGCCCAGTGGAGACGCAGGTAAGAGGTGAATGTCACCTCTGAGTCTCAGCTCCCACACCTGGACAATCGTGATAAAATCTCCTGCCTGCCTCACCAACCTTTGGTGAGGCTCAGAAATAATGTGTGAGAAAGTGCTTTCTGGAACCATCAGGTGCTACCCGATTGAAAACTGGTGTCCCAATGTTCCCTCTGAAGTCCTCAGAAAATTTCTGTGGGCCGGTTTATGGAATTTTGTTTCTTTCAATTTCAGTTTCAGGTACATATAGCAGATAAGAGAGAAAATTTAGAATATAATCATTTCATTGAAAGTTTATATGATAGCATATATCAAAAGATTATCTTAACATAAAATAATACTTTTAAAACTGAAAGGATTATTTTGTGTAACAGGCTACCTTTCCTGTTAAGAAGCAAGATAAGGCTTAAAAAAATATATACAACACACACACAGATGTGTATATTCCTAATAGCTCAAAATATTTAGAAAATTGTATAGAACAACATTTTGCTAAGGCTAAAATCAGGAGAGGGAAGAAAGCATTTCTATACAAGATACTCACTGCTGATAAGGCCAAGATTTGCTGCTGAATTGTTTCTTCATCATTACTGTCAACCCACGGGGGCACTGCCGCTTCTAGAAGGTTTTAAACAGTAAAGAAGAAAAGGGAACAACAGGTTACCAGGGTGACTTTGTAGTCTGTGGCTGAAATCATGGATGAGAAAGTTTCCATACAATGATTTCTCAATTTACCAACCAGTTCCAGATAGGAAGATTCAACTCACAACGCACAGACTTAATGTGCAAATCTCATGCATATGTGTATTTGGCAAAAAGTTACTCTCCTTGAACTATACAGTGGAGAAACTGTACAACACCTCGATCAGGTAACCAGGATCAACATCACTAACAAGGAAGAGGTGGCCCTGTGGGCCTCCAGGTGGCATGCTAAGGACACAACAACATCTGTATTGTTCTGCCCAAGAATGCACAATTTGGGGCCTCCCTTGTGGTGCAAGGGGTTAAGTTGCAGCACTATGAGGCTCTTGGCAGCCACTGTAGCACGAGTTCAATCCCTGGCCAGTGAGCTAACCCACATGGCACAGCAGACCTCTCCTGTCTCCCCACTGCTCCCCTCAGCAGTGTATTTCAGTTAATCTGCCTGTTCTGCTCCCCACTCTGTCTCTGGTGAATCCTCTCACCACCCCGCATCCCTGGCCAGCTCTTGTATGCATAAATAAAAAATAAATCTTAAAAAAAAAAAAAAAGACATTAGGAGGTCAGATGACAAAATCATACTACGAGGGCCTCCCCGGTGGCACAGCGGTTGAGCGCTGGGTTGCGAAGCTGCCCGCGGCCTCTGCGGCGCCGGTTCGATCCCCGGCTGCTCCCCGGCCACCAGAGGAGGGTCCCACATGGCGCGCAGACCTCTCCTGCCGCCCGCTGCTCCCCTCAGCAGTGCACTTCGGTCCTTCTGCCTGCTCTGCTCCCCGCTCTGGCTCTGGTGAATTCTCTCACCCTCCCGCGCTTCTGACTGTACCCAGTGCATGTATAAACAAAACAAACAAACAAACTAAATAAAACATGCCTCTATAAAAAAAAAAAAAAAAGATCTAAAATAAATAAATAAATAAATAAATAAAAATCATACTACGAATATCATCTCAATGTTAAATATCCAAAAGCTGGTAACTGTACGGGGATTATGTAACAGACGATCCCGAATTCAGATTTGTTTCATCTTTTACCAGCTAAGTGATTTTCAGCAAGTTATTAGCCTTGCTGATCCTTCTTTTTATTAAGTGAGATGTTATATATAAAGTGCCTACCACTTGGCAGGCATTTGGGAACTGTCAGTTCCTTCCAGTCCTCTTTCCCCTAAACTGGAGCTCTCGCTCAACTCTCTTCCTGCCTGACACTTGTCATTAACGAGCTCACCTACTTTTTTCCCCAAGGTTATTTATGTATAGAACTACTGGGGTATAGGCCAGAGGAGCTGGGGGTGAGAGGATTCACCAGAGTCAGAGTGGGAAGCAGAACAGGTGGATTTCCTGAAGGGAGCAGCGGGTGAGAAAGGAGCACCATTTGGGTCAGCTCCCTGGCCTGGGATCGAACTCAGGCCACAGTGGTGATTGCTTGTTAGCACTCAGACTTAACCCCTATGCCACCAGGGAGCCCCAAGGAGCTCACTTACTTCCATTTTACTAATATGATCTGACTAACGATCTGTATCAGAGGTGGATTTCTTCTCCATTCTTCAAACAGGACAAACTGCTGCTGGACCCCAATCACTTAAGAGTGCTGACCAATAGAACTTTCTTCAGTGAAGGAAATGTTCTATCTCTGCACTGTCCATTATGGCAGTCACTAGCCCCATGTGGTTACTGGGTATTAGACTAGTGCAACCAAGGAATGGAATTTTCTTGATATGCCACCTGCATTCCCTTCCCTGTCCTGTACATCTTCCTCTCACCTAGCTATCTAATGGGCACCTCAAAACTGGAATCACCTCCAAACCTTTCACTCCCACTCCTTCACAGCTCCCATTTCAGAGGCACCACACAGCTCCTACATCAAGCCAGGATCAATTGTATAGCATCCCATGGTCACTAAGTTCTTCTAACTAGCACCGTTTATTTGTCCCAGAGAGAGTTTACCGAGGTGCAACCATGCCTGATGGGAACTCACCTTAGGACCAACTACTTTTTTTTTTTTTTTTTTGCATTTGAGGCACTGCTCAAGCCAATTAAATTGTTTTACACTAAGGCCAAGTTGAAAACCATGTGGCCAGTTTTGTGTTTGAGCACCGCCCAGTGAGAAAAGCAGATAGACTGAGGTCTTAAAATCGTATGCATTTAGAGGAGCATTTGTTCGCAAAGAAATGCATTGTGCAAGTTCCCAGACACGCCAGGACTTTTCACAGTGGCGTCACTCCCCTGGAAAGCACTTTCGTTTTTTCTCCAGAAGAAAATGGGAAGGGAGCCAACATTTGCTAAGTGCACTGGGTTGGGCATGTTATGAAGTGAGAATGGAAAGCGAATTCTCTCTCTCTCTCAGTCAGCTCCCCAGAGGGGGCCGTCACTGGCTGACCTCACCCACCATCCAACAGCAGGGAACAAATTTCCTTTCTTCCTTGAAACCTGAAGTTTTAGGAGCCCGTCTCTTCCAGGTGCCTTTGTGCTACCCCAAGCATGGTGTCTGGCATGGCACAGAAGTCCAGTAAAGCGTGGCAGGTAAGTCAGTCATGTACAAGAAATCTATAGCATACCTGATTTTTTTGTATGCTGTTCCTCAACAAATTTTTTCTGTTCCTTTTGAAAGTCTCCTATAATTGTCTGTTAAAAAAAAAAAAAGTCAAATTACTTTGAAAAGTTTATTATTAGAAAAGATTTACAGCTAAGATTTGTGAAGGACACGAGACATTTTATTCATTTTCTTCAAATAAAAAGGCTAAAAAAAGGGCCTCCCCGGTGGCGCAGCGGTTGAGCGCTGGGTTGCGAAGCTGCCCGCGGCCTCTGCGGCGCCGGTTCGATCCCCGGCTGCTCCCCGGCCACCGGAGGAGGGTCCCACATGGCGTGCAGACTTCTCCTGCCGCCCGCTGCTCCCCTCAGCAGTGTACTTCGGTCCTTCTGCCTGCTCTGCTCCCCGCTCTGGCTCTGGTGAATTCTCTCACCCTCCCGCGCTTCTGACTGTACCCAGTGCATGTATAAACAAAACAAACAAACCAGCAAACAAATAAATAAAGCATGCCTCTATAAAAAAAAAAAAAAAAAAAAAAAAAAGGCTAAAAAAAGTGATACTTTTCCCTTTCCCCAACAAGAGGGGATCACTGTTTTTGAATTTTAAGTATACAACCCCCTTTATGATGGATTATCCTTTCAAGTGCAAAAATAAAATGAGTTAAAAAGTGAACTTTTGCATTTTACCAAAAAAAAAAAAAGTAAAAAATTGAATCTCATTTTTAACAAATAATACTCATAACACAAGTATCTAAATAGCAAACGTGAATGACCGTCCCAGTTTAAATAGTGACCAACATAAGTGAAATCTCCAAAGCCCCCACTCTACCACCACAAAAAAAAATGAACAAACTCATTCCTTAGAGTCAAAAAGGGCTGTTCCTAATGGACTAGGACTTGGAAAACTTAGCTGAATGATGCAAAGGCCTATATATCTTCCGAGATGGGTACAGTGTAAATTCACAATGAGTAGTTTAGTATGGCTGAAAGTATCAATGTATTAGAATATATTAAAAATCCAAGGTTATCCAAATCATGTCATTTATATCACAGCCATTTGTTACACAAAAAGAGAGGGGAAAAAAAACCAAGAATCTCATGATCAGAATGATAATAAAGTTCATAGCAAGAAGGGATAATCATATTAGCTGCTAATGAATCTCATAAATTTCTCCTTCCAAGAGCTATTGACCTGTACCTTATCAATGATGTCATCTATCTTTCCTTCTTCTACCGATTTCTTTATCGTCTGGGCTGTTTCGGCAACGGACTCAGTAATCTTTTTTGTAGCAGCAGTTGCAAAGTTAAACAGATAGTCTGTAAAGAATAAAAAAAGTCGATGCTCCATTCAAGTACGCTGCTTACTGTAGTTGCGGTTTTTTCCCTTACACAGCTGATGAGAATCTTGGACCACAGGGCATGTGCTTGTGGCTGAAACAAGGACTGGGAAGTGCCAACTGCACTCCTCTTTCTCGGCAGGTCAGTCGGGGGTACAGGGTCTTCAATTCCACGCTTTCAAAGATGTACCTCCCAGTTCTCCCCAGCAGCTGTTTAAACTGGTTTTGCCCTTATCCAGCCCCTAGTTTTAACATAGCTCAGTCAGCCATCTCCCCTCCTACTTCACACATAAGATCAAGGCTCTGCGTTCTTTTCTTTCCTTCCTACACCCTAAATATCCCATTTATATTTTTCTCCTCCTTCCTTCCTGTTTTCAAAGGAAAAAAAGGTGCCTTCCTTCTTAGATTAACTCATCTCATAATAAATCTAGGGGGATTTTTAACAAATAGGAATCTTGGGGAAGTCATAATATAAATCCTCCTTAACTAACAATCATGAGCAGTATGTAGGAAAAAATTAAAATTGCAACACACAAGACACCTTTGCAAAACAAAATGAAAAACAAAGTTAACTTCCCTGAGGACTCCAGACATATGGACCAAGGCTCTGCAGGTGCAGGCCTAGGTATAGATAAGTATCATTTCAAAGGCCACACTCTCCAGAATCAGGACTGCCTCTTTCTGAGGCAGATGAGCATAGGAGGGCCTAAGTTTATCAGGAGGCCTCACGGCCAAGTATGGGGAGGTTTGGTTTTGGATGTCGTAGTGGAATGTAGGCCGGGGTGTCCACCACTGTTAACCGGTGAGTTGTGTAAATGTGTAAGTCACCATGAACCAGAAGTATTCAGGGTCCTATCTTGAAGGTAGGAACTCGGTAAGAATTTACAGAACAAATAGGGCTCCCAGGACATTCCCTGGGGCTTTTAAAAGGCTAAAGAAACTGGATCTCTCTGGTGGCCCAGGGGTTAAAGTCTCAGTGCTATCAAGCTATCACCAGCCACCGTGGCATGAGTTCGATGCCCGGCCAAGGAGCTAACCAACACTGTACAGCAGACCTCTCCTGCCTCGCCCACTGCTCCCCTCAGCAGTGTATTTCAGTGGATCCTCCTGTTCTGCTCCCCATTTTGTCTCTGGTGAATCTTCTCACACCCCTGCACCTCTGGCCTACATCCCAGTTCTGTATGAAAAATAAAACAGGATAAAGAAACTAACCTACTCAGTGGGAGTCAGGATCAGAGATGTTTAATTTCAGTTTCTGAAACACAGATGGGTGTTTTTAAAGATCATGCCTCTTAGGGTCAACAGAAATAAAAAATATCTCTCCTTCTGAAGATTTGTGTATAGACCAGACATTTACATCTTTTTAAAAAATCACAAAAATTTCAGAACCCAAAGGGCTTTCATTTATTTGGTAACTTCACATTTACAATACATGTGTGGGCAGGGAACGGGGTGGGGGGGGGTACTTCCATTTACCTTTAGCGTCTCCAAACATCAAAAAAGTCTAGTGAGGAAATAGATGGCAGCATTAAGCTCCAAAGTAGACAGCCATATCAAAAACAACCTATTAAAAATATCCAGAGGGCCTCCCCGGTGGCGCAGAGGTTGAGCGCTGGGTTGCGAAGCTGCCCGCGGTCTCTGCAGTGCCGGTTCCATCCCCAGCTGCTCCCCGGCTACTGGGCAAGGGTCCCACATGGCGTGCAGACCTCTCCTGCTGCCCGCTGCTCCCCTCAGCAGTGTACTTCGGTCCTTCTGCCTGCTCTGCTCCCCGCTCTGGCTCTGGTGAATTCTCTCACCCTCCCGCGCTTCTGACTGTACCCAGTGCTTGTATAAATAAATAAAAATAAATCTTTAAAAAAAAATAAAAAATAAAAAATAAAAATATCCAGAGATCTTCATCACTTAACACATACATGATGTTTTAAGTTGAGGATAAAGCCCTGAGTTTCAAGAAGAGGTAGGTGTGTGTGTCTGTGTGTGCGCGCCCTGAGTTTCAAGAAGGGGTGTGTGTGTGTGTAGAAGAACTAGGGTATAGGCCAGAGGTGCAGGGCGGGTGAGAGGATTCACCACAGACAGAGTGAGGATCAGAACAGGTGGACTGACTGAAGAACACTGCTGAGGAGAGCAGAGGGAGAGACAGGAGAGGTCTGCTACACCATATGTGGGTAGCTCCCTGGCCAGGGATCAAACTCAGGCCTTACAGGTGATAGTGCTGAGACTTAACCCCTAGGCCACCAGGGAGGCCCAAGAAGCCACTTTTGATTCTCCCCTCAAGACAAATAAGAATGGCCCTCTCTGCTCTAGAAAATCCAGTAAACCCCATACGTTATCTTGCCCACTTTTATCTATACCATCTACCTTCCATAACTTCTCGGCTCTAGTCGAATTCATCTCATATCCCTCAAATAGTCTGGGCTAATTTCTTTCCAATTTCCTACACAGGAAATAGTCGTTCCCTCTTTAGGGATGTTTACTGTACAGCACTTAGTGCCAGATATCTTGTGCACTATCTGGGGGCCTGAGCTGATATTATGGACTGCCATGATTTAAGATTTTGTATTCTCCACCCACAACAAACTTCCCAAAGAGTCTTTCCTATTCAAATATGTATTTCTTCACTCTTCTTCGTTCTCATGCTCCCAACTTGCCTCTGGTGTTGCCTTTTTAATACCTTTCAGGAGTCTTAAAACTGCTTGCTAAGCACCTCCCTGGTGGTGCAGGGGGTTAAGCACCGCACTACAAAGCAATCAACAGCCTCTGCAGCACGAGTTCGATCCTCCACCAGCCAGGGAGCCACCCACATGGCACAGCAGACCTCTCCTGACTCGCCCGCTGCTCCCCTCAGCAGTGTATTTCAGTCAGTCTGCCTGTTCTGCTTCTCACTGTCTCTGGTGAGTCTTCTCACCCCTCCTCCAACCCCCCCCCCCCAATCTCTGACCTGTGCCCCAGCTCTTGTATGCATAAATAAATCTCAAAAAAAAACCCTGCTTGCTAAATTTATTATCTATCTCTGCTATAGTTCTTTCACATACAATGCTGTCTGCTTTAAGGCCCACCTCTTCAAACACACTGACTTGATACTGAAGCCTGCCAAGGTCTCTCCAGAATCAGATATACTACATAAAATGTGTGTATTTTTCCAGTCTACCACTTTATCTCTCCTAACGAACCTGTAACCTCGCAAAGAGCATGGGCTTTGAAATTAGACCGAAGTTCAAATTCCAGATCTACCACCTACTATCAGTATAACTTTAAGCCTGTAATCCGGGGCCTCTCCGAAGTCACTAGAGCCTTTAGCATACGAAATGATACCATTCATACAACATCTACTACTGAAACTTGCACATCCCAGACAAGTAACTGGCAGCTACTCTCCCGCCTTAAGGAAAAAGGTCCCACTGTACCTAGAAAGGAGACTAACCTGAACGCAAGCCTTGAGCAATTCCTCCAAGACTTACTTCGGTGCACTCATTCTGTCCTCAGGGCAAAAAGACACCTTTCCAACCAACTCAAGTCCCCTTTTCAAAGCGTGTAAGGGTGTGGAGGTGAAAGTCGGCGAGTGGAACGAAAAGATTTCTCGACAAACCTAACTAACTCGGGTCACACGGCTTTAGTGCGGTCCTGCTCCCATTGTTTACACTTTGTAAAGAGTGACTTGTCTCCCATTGTTTACACTTTGTAAAGAGTGACCAGGAACTCCAGGCGCAGGATTTAACTGCTAGGTGAAGCTTCGGCCCTGCCAAGGTCCTCACCAAACTCTACTGTCTTGAAAGGACCGACAGACACACCTTCCTCACCGCCCCCCGACCAGCTGGCCCGCGCCCAGGGGGTTGAAGAGGAGGGAGGCGGACCCTCTGGGACATTCTTTGGTCTCGGGGGTCGGGGAGACTCACTGCCGAGGTCTCTGGCCTGGTGAAGGAGCTCCTGGTCCACTGCTAGCTGCTGCTCCTCCTCGGCGGTCCCTGCCACCGCCTCGGAGTCCTGCTCCGGTGGAGCGTCTCCCGCGGGCGGCCCGTCTCCCCCTGGCTGCCGCTCGCCCGCCGCCGGCTGCTCCAAGCCAAACCAGCTGCTCAAACCCCGGAACATCCCGCTCGCCGGGCCGCCGCCGCCGCGGTGCCGGCCACGGGAGACCCCAGCCGGTGCCGCCTACGACTCAGCTCCTACGACTCGCGTCTCCCAGGAAGGTAGCCGGAAGTGCGGCCCCGGAGCCGCCCGTCGGGCCGCCTCCCCGCCTCTATTACAAATCCGCCGTCGACCTCAATGCGTCACTTCCGGCCAAAGGCCCCGCCCCCACACGCTGTTTATTGACGTGGCTTTATTACGCGTGCGCGGAAAGCGGACAAAGGGCTTTCCCCGTAGCTCGGCCCCGCCCCGCCCCGCCCCTTCTCTTCCTCGCCCAGCTTTGCAGGCGGCTGCCCTGGCAAGTAAACTGCGCCCCAGTCACTCTAAGCAGCTCGGCTGCTGACTTAGCTTCCTCCTTTTAAGGCCGGCTGGACTAGCCCCGCGGAAACGAGTATCTTTAGCCTCCTCCTGCTTCCAAATCAAAAGTAGCCCAGGGCTTCTAGCTTCAACTACCGACTTATTGGGAATATGGGGAACGGAGGAATGTGTCAAAGCACACTCCGCAATGCAGGCAACAGAATCTAGCAGAAATCACTCCTTTCTTCAGATACGTTGTGAGGCGGAGAGGAAGGGCATCCTATAGATTAAAAAAGATCTACGTGTCATGGGCGGTGGACACTTGGGGATTGTGTTTGGATCCTAATTCAAAGACACACATGGGGGCAGGGATACTTGAGATACTTAAGAATTGGAATACTTTAAGAATTGGAAATTTGGACACTGGATATTTCATGAAATTAAGGAGTTGTTAAAATATCAAAGTTCTAATTGTGGGCGAACATACATAACCAAATTGACCACTTTAACCACTTTGATTGTACAAGTGCGGTAGTGTGAAGTTCATTCACGGTGTTGTGCAGCCCTTCACCAGGGCTCTTCCTGTTGCAAAACAAACTGGGGGATTAAAGGATTCTCCATTCTTTCCTTCCCCCATTCCCTGGTGATACCCTACTTTCTGTCTCTATGAGTTGCACTGCTCAAGAACCTCATATAAGTGCAATCATACCATCATTCATTTTTTTGTGACTGGCTTATTTCACTTAGCAAATGTCCTTAAATTTCAGTCAGGTAGCTTGAATCAGAATTTTCACCTTAAAGACTACCTTTAAAAAGGCTGAATACTGTTCCTTTGTATGTATATACCACATTCTGTTTATCCATTCCTCTGTGGCTGGACACAGGACTTAATTTCTAAATTATGTGTGTGTGTGTGTGCGTATGTGTGTGTGAGAGAGAGACAGACAGACAGACAGAGTGAGAGACACTGAAATACCAATGAAATCATAGGCTGTCTGACATTTGCTGCAAACTAATATGGGATAGGAGGAAATGCGTGCAAATGTAGATGAAACAAGCCTGACTACCGGTTGATAAGTGTTGAAGTTGGGTGGTTATATTTTTGTCTGCTTTTCTATATATTTATCTTTTCCCATAATAACAAGTAAACTGGTCCAGTGAACAACTACCCCTTAAGGTACCTATTTTCCAAACACAATCTATTAGTAGAGGACACCCATTATTCCTCTTGCACCCTTTCCAGGAGCGCAGCATAGTTTCAGTGACTTATGTGACTATTGGGGTGGGAGGAGTCATATGTAATTCTTACTTCTCTGCTCTCCAGTTTTACAGTCTGATCTATATTTACAGTTTTTTAAGTTTCAGAACTTTAGCATAACAAGCCTGACCTGTTTGTATTTTCATTTTTGTTATTTATTTATTTATTAAAGATTTATTTTCTTTATGCATACAAGAGCTGGGGTACAGGTCAGAAGTGTGGGATGTGAGAGGATTCACCAGAGACAGACTGGGGAGCAGAACAGGCAGACTGACTGAAAAACACTGCTGAGGGGAACAGCGGGCAAGACAGGAGAGGTCTGCTGCGCCATGTGGGTAGCTCCCTGGCTGGCTGGGGATCGAACAGGTGCTGCAGAGGCTAGGGACAGCCTCACAGTGCTGTACTTAACCCCTTGCACTGCCAGGGAGGCCCCTGTTTGTATTTTCAAACAGCTTCATTGAGCAAAAATTCACATAGCATACAATTCACCTGCTAACAGTATAAAATTCAAAGATATTGGTATATTGTACTACTACCTCCTAAAATTATGATAAATATGCAACGAAATTTGCCTTTTGCCTGTTGTTAAACAGGGTATTTATTCAGCTTTGAAAGTCAGGCGACATCTTAGGACTAACACCTTTTTAGTTTTTAAGTCAGTGGGAAGCTGAAAATGGTTGACACTCTTCAGAAAAAAAAAGATTTGGTTGAAGTATGATTGGAATGAGTCCAGAATTTTAGTCAGAAGCTCATTCTGCATTTGCTTTTGCTTTATCTTCAGGGCAAAACCACAATGAAGGCTGAGCTTCCCAGAGGACTGGCAGTTTTACAATAGTTCTGAAAGGTAGAGTTCTTCAAAAGAAATGATTATAAAAGAACACCAGCAATCAACTTAAAGCCAGACTTCCTTTTCATATCTTTTTCATCTTCTCAAGGGTCCAGGATGTTCTGGTCTCAGACTGCCATGAATAAACACCCTCCTGCCCTGCAAAACCCTCAGTCTGAAACTTGTTATCAAATTTGTTTTTCTGCTTGACCCCTCTCCCCCATTTTGGATTAACAAAATAGTTATTATAATAACCCTTCTTGTATTCACAAAAAATCTTTCATCCCTTAGTCTCATAGATTTGTAGAATAAAATAAAGAGAAAGCTCTACATCTTCTGGTCTAGAGTCTGACTTTGGGACCAGATGTTTTGCCCATATCCTGGCTTTGTTACTCATAGTAACTAATCACAACACTTCACATCTCAAAGGCTTGGGTTTTTCATCTTAAAGAGGGGATCATCATAACTGCCCAGGTTGTCAAAAAAAAAAAAATGAAGTACTACTATTTGGAAGGGACCAAACATAATAGATATTATGTATTAACATCCATGTCAAACCGTTTAACATCCATGTCAAGTGTCCTTTTCAACGGGTCCCGTGGGAGACTTGTTGCATTAACAAACTCCTCTATGACCCGAGCCTTTTTATGAGGAGCTTCCTCCTTTAAAAAAAAGTATTTTTGGCCCTGCCCGGTGGCGCAGCAGTTGAGCACTGGGTTGCGAAGCTGCCCGAAGCCTCTGCGGAGCCGGTTCGATCCCAGGCTGCTCCCCGGCCACCGGAGGAGGGTCCCACATGGCGCGCAGACCTCTCCTGCCGCCCGCTGCTCCCCTCAGCAGTGTACCTCGGTCCTTCTGCCTGCTCTGCTCCCCGCTCTGGCTCTGGTGACTTCTCTCTCCCTCCCGCACTTCTGACTATACCCAGTGCATGTATAAATAAATAAAATCTTTAAAAAAAAAAAGTAATTTTTCTTTGGCCTTTACCAGACTTGGTTCTCCCCCTATAGTTCCTGCCAAGTGGAGCCTCTGCTCACTTTTCCAGAAGTTGACATCACTATCCCAAGCTCTTTAGCGCTTCATCCACAACACTACTCTGACATCCTTGCTGGGGAGAAACTCCTTTTGTTTTGAAACTCATTTAAATTTGCCATACAAACTTCTACCCTTCCTTGTTATTGTCATGTATTTGCTTCCGGGACCCTCCCAGTGCATGATTATAATCTCATTCTTTTGTGCCCTCAACTCCCTTTTTCTTGTTCTTCTACCCAACCCAACCAGAAATTGGTTTCATCATAAATCTCTGTATTTATGTAGCTACCTATAGATCGCTTGCAAAATGATAGAGCTGAGAGCACTACATCATGATGGACTCTAAATTGCAGCTGGCCTTCAATGCCACATATATGACTTTGTTACAGTGATGAGAAAATATATTATTGAGCAAATGAATATAATAAAGATTCCAGCAGAACTTCCAGCCCAGGTGCAATGAACATTCCAATGCAGGGCCTCCCCTTGTGGTGCAGCGGTTGAGCGCTGGGCTGCGAAGCTGCCCGCAGCCACTGCAGCGCTGGTTTGATTCCGGGCCACCGGTGAGGGTCCTACATGGTGCGCAGACCTCTCCTGCCGCCCGCTGCTCCCCTCAGCAGTGTACTTTGTCAGTCTGCCTGTTCTGTTCCCCGCTCTGGCTCTGGCGAATTCTCTCACCCTCCCGTGCTTCTGACTGTACCTAGTGCTTGTATAAATAAATAAATCTTAAAAAAAAAAAAAATTCCAATGCAGGCATAATCAATAAGTTTGCTTACTTACAACTACTTCCCTTGCAAGATTCATGGCCAGGGCCTCAGCACCTATCTGCAAGGTTGGACAGCTGGCCAAGCTGGTCTCTCTCTCTCCAAGGCCATCCCCGAATGCGTGCATCATTCCCCCCTTGCCTTGCCCCCTTGCTTGGGACTTTGCTATAAATGGTTGTGCCTGCTGAAAAAACGATGTTATCAATGTAACAGATATGGAGACAGTTGTGCGTAAAAGGAACCCTTGGTTGTTAAACAGGTGCTCAGAACTTACCGGGCTCCCCAGGTCTGGGACCGCATGCATGAGTAATAAAGCTTCTCGTGATCTCACCATTCCTGAAGTACTGCTTGTTCTTCCTCTGCCTGGGTAAAAGGCTAGAATTTATTTGTACAACAGGACTTGACACTCTATACTGCCTATTTCCGGTTATTCAACATTTTGTACTAATTTCCTCATCCTTCCAAGCCCTCCTATTGTCCAAGAGGACAATAGATTTTCTCTCCTTCTGTGGTTTGTGTCTGTTCCCTTCACCTTCATAACTTTTTTTTTCTTTCTTTTATAGAGGCATTTTATTTATTTATTTGTTTGTTTGTTTGTTGTTTTTGTTTGTACAAGCACTGGGTACAGTCAGAAGCGCAGGAGGGTGAGAGAATTCACCAGAGCCAGAGCGGGGAGCAGAGCAGGCAGAAGGACCGAAGTACACTGCTGAGGGGAGCAGCGGGCGGCAGGAGAGGTCTGCGCGCCATGTGGGACCCTCCTCTGGTGGCCGGGGAGCAGCCGGGGATCGAATCGCACTGCAGAGGCCGCGGGCAGCTTCGCAACCCAGCGCTCAACCGCTGCGCCACCGGGGAGGCCCACCTTCATAACTTTTTGTGTCCTTTCTCAACGCCAACCATTCTCCAAATATTCCTAAAAACTCACTGGGTGTCTTGGAATTCTTTTTTTTTTTTTTTTTTTTTAAGATTTACTTATTTATGCATATAAGAGCTGAGGTACAGGCCAGAGATGTGGGGTGGTGGGGCGAGAGAGGCTCCACCAGAGACAGAACAGGGAGCAGAACAGGCAGACTGACTAAATACAGTGAGGAGTCAGGAGAGGTCTGCTGTGCCATGTGGGTTTCTCTCTGGCCAGCCGGGGATCGAACTCGTGCTGCAGAGGCTGCGGATTGCTTCATAGTGAAGTGCTTAACCCCTTGCGCCACCAGGGAGGCCTTGTCTGGGAATTCTTTAGAATAGCTAAGAGACAGAAGCCACTTGAGCGCTCACCGATGGAGGATGGGGTCGAGAAGATGTGGTCTAGCCACATGGTGGGCTGCCATTCAGCTACAAGGAAGTCTGATATTCTACCATTTGTAGCAAGATGGAAGGAACTCGAGGGGATTGTGTCAAGTGAAGTCGGCCAGAAAGACACAAATACTGGATGATTTTACTTGTGTGAGGGATATAAAGAAACAAAGCAGATGAACTGGCCAAGCAAATAAAAATTAAATTCGTGGACACCGATAAGTGCTCTGAGGTTGCAGGAGGCGAAGATGGTGGATGGAGGGCGGGGAAAAGGGTGAAGGGCTGTAAGGGAGGGCGGTGGGGGTTTTGTTTTTGCTTTTTTTTTTGGTTTTCTTCAAAATTAGAAACAAGAACCAATGCCCCGAGCCCGCAAATATAACAACGTGAAAGTGTCCCTGGGTGAAGCCCTAATAGTCCCCCCTCCCCGTCCCCCCCTCCGCCCCCCGGCTGGTTTTTCCATCGGAGTTTCGTTCTAGGAATGTTGGATTCCGGCGGCCGCGTAGACTCCCCCAGGACCGGGAGCTCCTCCAAGGCAGGATCCGTGACTTTTCGGACCCCTCTTCGGCGCCCCAGCAGGTCCTGGCGCGCAGCCGGGGATCCACAAACCTCTGTAACAGAGTGAGGCTCCCTCCGGGGCTGCGGGTGGACGTGCAAGGGCCTCGCCCAGCTGCGGGGGCGCCGGGAACGTGGCGTTCGCGAGGTGCCTGTGCTCAGCGAGCCGCGGAGGGGAGGAGCAGTCCCGGCTGAGCGCGGCCTGGGGCCAAGTGCGTCCAGGGCGGAGGGTGACGCGAGGCTGTTTGTGCCGGAGGAATCACTTTTTAAGCGCTGCTTTGGGAGCGTCGCGCAAACCCGGTGCAAACCCCGGAGCTCACAGAGTGAGTCAGCGGGGCCGGAGCAGGGGCAGAGCGAAAGGTGGGCGAGGAGGCGCATCGCACCCCGAGGCCCGCGTGGGAGGCGAGGAGCACTCGGTGGCGACTCGGGGTACCCCTAGCGGCTGCCCCCTCCTCAACCCGACAGGTGAGCAGCGGGCTGGACTCGAGGCGGAGTCCGCCGTCCCCACGGGCCACTCTCCGGGTGCCACTAGCAGCAGCACGCAGGTAACCCCACCCGGGCCTCCTCAGTTCCCGCGGGCAGCCCCAGGGCCCCCAGGGTTTCCGTGCCGAGGCCCCCAGCGACCCCAGTGCCCCGCCCCCGCCGGTGCCCCCAGCCCCCGAATGCAGGCGGGACTGGGCGCCTTTGTCCCCTCTCGGGTAGCGCCCGCGCCGAGTCCACGGGGGCAGACAGCGGGTCACGTCCCCGCACCCCCTCCCCTGCGCTCAGCCCCGGGGCGGACGAGCGGGCGCGGCTGCGGCGCGGGGCCACTCTGACCAGGTCCGGCGCCGTCGGAGCTCGCCCTGCGATGGCCGGTGGCCCGGGGTCCGGAGCGTCGCGTCCCTGGGGTGCACTATTCCCCGCACCCCGCCGCGGAATCGGGCGCCCGGGGCACCGGTCCCGGCTGGGGCGCGAGGGTCGACTGCGGCCCCAAGCCCCCCTTTGGCCGGGACCTTGGGAGCCGGGGGAGCCCCGAGATGGCGTTAGCGGAAGTGAAACTGGGCGCGCAGAGAAATGGCCTTTCTGTCCCCTCCCCCGCCGCGCGCTCGGGTTAACTCCGACCCTCGCCTTTCTCCCAAGCTGGCCTCTTAGGGCGCACTGTGCCCCAGGACGCTACAGCTACAGAATAGCTTTCGCTTTGCAACACTTTTTTACACGTTTGAGGTGTAATTTGCATACAATAAAATACCCGGGTTTGCAGTGTGCAGATCGGGGACTGAATGAATAAGCCACCGGGTAACGTCTACCCAACGGGATGGACATCGGTTTCGTCGCCCCGGAAAGTTCCCTCGTGTCTTTCCCCAGTCGACCCACAACTCCCCGCCCCGTTGATTTCGATTGTACCGTAGTTTTTGCCTGTTCTGGAACTTTACAAAATGAGATCATTCAGCAAGTACGCTTTTGTTTCTAACGTTACTTTTAAAATTGCTGTTATTGAGACACTATCCCTTGGTGCTGCTCAAGTTTTTTAGTTGCTCCAAGTCCCGCACTTTCCAGAGTGGTGGCCACTTGCCACAAGTGACTCCTGAGTCCTGGAAATGTAGGAGTCTGGATTGAGAGGTGTTGTGAGTAGACACACCCAATTTCCGAAGGTTAAGTAACTCAAAAGAAAAAAAGGGAACTATCTCTCACGAACAAATACCTGTATGATGTGTTAAAATGATCTTTTGTATACATTGGTTTTGAAAACATTTTTAATGCAGCCAAATTTTTTAATGTATCCAAATACGTGGGTTATCAAAGTTGGATCATTCCGTTAAAGGAAATATTACTAACATTAACTTCATCTGTCCTTTCACTTTTTAAATATTGTTACTAGAAAATTTAAAATTACACGGCTGACTCGTGTAATATTTTTATTCCTTCAGCCTGAAACTCTCCTATTTTACAGACAATTGTTTGTGTTCACTGCATAAAAGAGTAAGTGAAAACAACATTTGCAGGGGAAAACCCACCAGATTCAAGGCAGTTGCTTGAAGAGCCTGCCCTTTCCTGCATTGTTAAAACTTTGTTTCCAACTTGTTTGCTCAAGATAAGTGGAAAGGTCTAGATGTCTCCTTGGCATCATACTATGTTTTCCAAAAGGACTTGTAAAATATCGGATGTGCTTAATAAAGGTATTTTGTGATTTGGAAGACAGATAAAACTAATAGTTGCCTGCAGCCCAACCACCTAAATATATTAAAATTTAGCCTTTTGGTGTATCCTTGGTCTGTCTTAATTGAAAAAAAGAAAAAACTAATAGTATATCCAATTTTATATCCTCCTTTGTTCATATAACATGAGCATCTTATATGAAAAATTCTCAGGCTTTTGACAGTCACATAAAGTGACTTCACAAGAATATGCTGCAGTTTTCTGTGGCATTTTTCCATTTTGCTAACTTTTACAAATGGGGATTCATTTGAAGAGTATGGCAGGATAAGGCGCAGTTACAGTCCTGCTTACTTCCCCCTTAATCCCATGGGAGAGGTAAAGTCCAAGAGAGCAGGATCCTTGACTGTTGGGGCCCTGTCTCCAGGACCCGGGAACCAGTCAAGCTTGTAATAGATGCCCAATAAAAGTTAGTGAGCCGACTGAATAGTGAGTAGGTGGCTCTCAACTGGTAAGAGCTAACCTTCTTGAGCACTTGACCACTCTTGGTAAACGCCCAAGGCTGGCGCCGCTATTGTCTCTATTCTTTTTTAAAAGATTTATTTATTTATGCATACAAGAGCTGAGGTACAGGCTGGAGGTGTGGGGCACGAGAGAATTCACCAGAGACAGGGTGGGGAACAGAACCGGACTGACTGAAATACACTGTTGAGGGAAACAGTGGGTGAGACAGGAGAGTTCTCCTGCGCCATGTGGGTTGCTCCCTGGCCGGCCAGGGATAGAGGCCCGGGATCAAACTCGTGCTGCAGAGGCTGAATGTTGTGGATAGCTTCATAATGCTGTGCTTAACCCCATGCGCCACCAGGGAGGCCTTATTGTCTCTATTTGTTTCTGTATGCCATTTAGGTGGAGAAAATTCAGGTTTGGAAGAGTTGAAGAAGTTGCTTAGGCCATTTGAACCCAGGCCCTTGACTCATGAGGAAGAGCACTTACCAAAACAAAACATCAGCGGGGGGCCAGGGGAAGGGAGGGCTGTGAGGTAGGAGTAGAAAGAAATGACTATTCAGATGCCTCGGGAAGTGGGTTTGAATTGAGAATCCTCCAGGCCAAATCTAGCTTGGGTAGGTGATGACCAGGTGGCTAGTGAAGAACCATGACACTGAACGTGATCAAGTATCTTGGGTAGAGAAAGGCAGGCCCACTGACGGGCTCAGAGAAGCCATTTGGGATGGGATGACGCCATTTTACTTGCTCTGACTGTGGTCAGCTGCTTCGAACTGAACTCATAGCTCTGAGAGATAACTGACGCCCTTAAGATGAGATGGCTTATTTTTAGAGTAAGTGGAGGAAAGTACAAAATCACAATGGGCATTCCTTGGAGGACAGACACCTCAAATAAATGTGTTTGTGCTTAATTTCGAAGTCTTTTATTTTTAATTGCGAACTGGAGTAATAGAAAGTAGAATTTAGACTCAATAGTTTTGTTATCTCTTTTGGCAGTTGTGATTTGATGTTAGTGCTGTTACTCGTTGCCTGCCTGCCGTGACTACACAAATAATCTGGTTCAGGATGACTTTCCTGTGCATGATGAAATGACAAGGATAGGAAGTCCCTCCTTGCTCTCCAGGGAAAAGCAACAGTGCTCAAAATAGTACCTCTTGGGATCCCTTGCCTGCCTCTAAAAGAAAAGGGTTTGAATCAAACAGCAGCTGAAAGATCATAAAATTTTCTTATGACATAGTATTTTCCATTTTTTTCCTGCTTTATTGGTGTAGCTGATGGGTGACGAACCAGATTCAGTGTTTAGCATGCTTAGTTATAGAGCATACATTCATTAGTAGCAATGTAATTGCTAAATATTATTAAGATCTTACTAGAGGCTCGTATAGGAGGTCGATGTTGACTCCCTCAATAGCAGCATCTGTAAACAATTTCTGTGGAAGTCCAGATAGTAAATATTTCAGGCTCTGCAGGACGCCTCAGTTTCAGCTCTGCTGTTAAAACCAGAAAGCAGCTGATAAATGCATGGGTGTGGCTGTGTGGCAGTGCAACTTGATTTATGGACACTGAGGTTTGAGTTTCATACAATTTTAACATGCCTGTGTGTCAGAGTGGGTCTGACCTTTATCTTAGCTCATTTAATCCTCACAACCACATCTGAGATTTTTTTTGGTTAGCATATTTGAATATTGATTTTTAAAAAAAGATTATTTTTAGAGCAATTTTAGAGTCACAGCAAAATTGAGCAGAAAGTCCTGATATCTCACACACTTCCTGCCCCCCTCATTGTAGTTTTCCCCCATCCCCAGCCTGAACCAGTGGTACACTTGGTACAATCTCTGAACCTGCACTGACACGTCATCACCCAAAGTCCATAGGTTACACTTGAGTTTGCTCTTGGTGTTGTTCTTTCTATGGATTTGGATAAATGTATAACGATCTGTAGCCACCATTATAGTATTTCACAGAACTGCCCTAAAAAAATTTCACTGCCCTAAAAAAATCTTCCGTGTTCTGCCTATTCACCCTTCCTTCTCCCCTGATCCCCTAGCAGCCAGACCGCTGATCTTTTTACTTTCTCCATGGTCTTGCCTTTTCCAGAATGTCAAAGAGTTGGAATCATACAGTATGCAGCCTTTTCAGACTGGCTTCTTGTACTTAGCAATATGCATATGAGGACTAGCCATGCACTTAGCAATATGCACGTAAGGCTCTGCCATGTCTTTGCATGACTTGATAGTTCAGTTCTTTTTTTTTTTTTTTTTTTTTAAAGATTTATTTATTTATTTACACAAGCCCTGGGTACAGTCAGAAGCACGGGAGGGTGAGAGAATTCACCAGAGCCAGAGCGGGGAACAGAACAGGCAGACGGATGAAATACACTGATGAGGGGAGCAGCGGGCGCAGCAGGAGAGGTCTGCATACCATGTGGGACCATCACGCGTGGCCGGGGATCGAACCGGCACTGCAGAGGCTGCGGGCAGCTTTGCAACCCAGCGCTCAACGGCTGCGCCACCAGGGGAGGTCCGATAACCCAGTTCTAAATGCCGAATAACATCTCGAGGGATTGGTGCTTTTATTCTTTTTCACAGATGAAGAAGCAGGCCCAGAAAAGATAAGTCACTTGTCCAGGCATGGCCTGTACAGTGCTGCCGATCTCATCTCATACCTACCTTACCGTGACTCTAAATCCCAGACAAGTTTGATTTCTTATGGGAAAGTTTACCACGTGGGAGTCAGGGCAAGGAAGCTAGCGCAGCTCCCTGCAGGTGCAAAAGGTCCAGAGATGACATTATTTCTAAACTTCAGTTATTTAGTTTCGATGGAAAAATGCTGTGTGCTTTTGAAATTCTGGATTAATACACTCTGCTTTACTGGTTTGAGAAAATGTTTCACTTCCTTGACCTTTATTTTTACTACCTTTCAGGTTACATCTGGGTGTTGGCACCCAGCTGCTCCTCTGCCAATGAAGTACATCCTGGTCACTGGCGGGGTCATCTCGGGCATTGGAAAAGGGATCATCGCGAGCAGCATCGGGACAATTCTGAAATCCAGTGGACTCCGAGTGACTGCTATCAAAATTGACCCCTATATTAACATTGACGCAGGCACTTTTTCACCCTATGAGCATGGTAGGAAGGAGACTCCCCTCCCCAAGCTCTCGGTTAAATTGCAGTTCTTTTTTGTCCTTTGGGTAAATTAGTTGTGTTTTGGGTAATTTCAGAAGTGGAGTTGCTGGCCCTACATTACAAATATGTGAATGTTCTTGTGGTTGTTGATACATTTTCCAGATTGTTGATGACTTTCCAAATTTTTCAGCCCTTTGGGAAACTGTGTGAGGATATCATTTTCATTGTACCTTTTGCGATGTGACTTATGTTTTGCTTTATTTGATTATAAAGGTAACATATTCTCTTAACGTTTTATTGCTGAGATAAAAATTCAGGCAATATAGAATAGCAAGAAGGAAATAAAAATCATCCATTTCCCACTGCTTGGAGTGGCACTTAATAATGGAGACATTTTGATGTATATACTGACTTTTTTTTTTTTTTTAATAAATGAATGGTTATTTCTTTTTTTTTTTTAAGATTTATTTATTTATTTATATGAGCACTGGGTACAGTCAGAAGCGCGGGAGGGTGAGAGAACTCACCGAGCCAGAGCGGGGAGCAGAGCAGACAGAAGGACCGAAGTACACTGCTGAGGGGAGCAGAGGGCGGCAGGAGAGGTCTGCACGCCATGTGGGACCCTCGCCCAGTTGCCGGGGAGCAGCCGGGGATCAAACCGATGCTGCAGAGGCCGCGGGCAGCCCCGCAACCCAGCACTCAACCGCTGCGCCACCGGGGAGGCCCCCTGTATATACTGACTTTTTAAAGATTTATTTTATTTATACAATAGCTGGGATACAGGCCAGAGGCACGGGAGGGTGAGAGGATTCACCAGAGACAGAGAGGGGAGCAGAACAGGCAGACTGACTGAAATACACTGCTGAGGGGAGCAGCGGGCAAGACAGGAGAAGTCTGCTGCGCCATGTGGGTTAGCTCCCTGGCCGGGCTGGGGATCGAACTCTGGCCTGGCCACAGTGGCTGGCGACAGCTTGATAGTGCTGTGTCTTTAACCCCTGCACCACTAGGGAGGCCCTTAAATCTAGCTTCAAAGCTTAATATGCTCTTAAGATTTTTATACATCCTATACTTTTAAAAGACTGCATAGAAACAGTACAGTAAGGGAAAATCATTTCCAATGTATTGATGTTATCAACAGCACTATGATGGAAAACTTTCAAGTTATTATTTTTTTTTAACATAGTTACTTAGGGGTGGAATTTGTGATGCAGGCTAGGTATGTTTTTCAGACTTTTGACACACAAAGCATGTTGCCTAAGATTTTTAGGCTCTTGATCTCTTATCTATAACTCTGAAATCCAAAAATTTTTGAAGATTTTAAATTCTTCATAATTTTGTGGCTATTTGTAGTTTCTGTAAAACATTTTAAAATTGAAAATTTTGGGCCTCCCTGGTGGCGCAAGGGGTTAAGCACCACACTATGAAGCAATCTGCATCCTCTGCAGCACGAGTTCTATCCCTGGCTGGCCAGGGAGCTGACCCACATGGCGCAGCAGACCTTTCCTGTCTCCCCCGCTGCTCCCCTCAGTAGTGTGTTTCAGTCAGTCTGCTTGTTCTGTTCCCCGCTCTGTCTCTGGTGAAGCCTCTCATCCCCTGAACCTCTGGCCTGTACCCCAGCTCTTGTATGCATAAATAAATAAAAAAATCTTTAAGAACAACAACAAAAAGAACATTCTGTTCCCAATCATTGCCCAAAAGTGATGCTGGAGACCCACAGATTCCCAATAGTGGGCAGAGGTGCTCCTGGTGGGATTATATCTTCTATTCCTTTTTTCTCAGCATGGTTGTGCTGATAGGTTATTATGTGCTCTTTTGTTTTTTTCCCCCACACTTTCACCAAAGGTGGTCTGTGGGCTAACCGTTGCCCTGCTTTTCAGCTACTGTCTAACTATGACTTCAACCAAAATGAGAATCAATTAAAACCTTCTTATGCCAACTGGATAATTCAGGATACTGAAGCTTTGAAACTATTCCTTGTAAAATTTCTGTTTTAAAACTCCCTTTTCATGTGTATGTAGTAAGTTTGAGAAAACAAAATCTTGAAAACAGAACTTAAGTAAACATTTAACAAAACACAATAGGATACCAGAACGTTTCCAGTGCGTTTCCATGGATGGAACTGAATTGTTAAGTTTTCCCGTCAGAACAAGGAAAGGGTGAGAATGTGCCTTTACAAGTCTCTCATCAGCTCTTTAAGATAACGTGTTCTTTTTTGAAAAGTAATCTATTGGCAGCAACTTTTGAATTTTTCCATTTCTTTCATTCCTAGGTGAAGTGTTTGTCTTAAACGATGGTGGAGAAGTTGATTTAGACCTTGGAAATTATGAAAGATTCTTGGATATTAATCTTTATAAGGACAACAACATCACCACTGGAAAGATCTATCAGCATGTGATCAATAAAGAGAGGCGTGGTGACTTCCTGGGGAAAACAGTACAAGGTACTCTATTCCGCAGACCCTGGGGAGCCCTGTGTGCTGAGCCCCACCCCCTCCTCAAAATAGACATGAAGAGGCTGAGCCCCTGCATTCCACAAGCTCTAATTCTTTGCAAATCTTTGCATTCATCTCCTTTTCCTCCGAAGCCGGCAAGCTCATGCCCCATGTTCCTGATGGCATTTTCATCCTGAGGGCCTTTTTCCTATTTTACTGATATCCTTGTGCTCTCCTATCTCTGCTTTTATTCAGAAAATTCACAGAGAACCATTTGTTCATCGTTTTAACCTGACGGGGTGCAGCGTTGGTGTGGTTTGGTTGGCTGTGTTTACTTTGTCCTTTGGCGCCTTTCTTCTTGTATCTTTGCATGGGTGATGACGACGCATCTTTGAACGTCTCACCTTTGAGGAGGAACTGGGGGGTTGAACTGGAGTGGCAGACAACACAGCCTGGTCCTATTTATACCAACTCTTTCCCTGGAAGGTGGGGTTCTCTTTTGCCTTAGAAGAGGCCCCCCGCACCCCTGAAGTCTTGTATTCATATGTTCTTACATGGTGGGTGAGGGTGATGGTCCCCCATCCTGTTAGGTCACTTTCTCGTTGGAACCAGCTGAGAAGCAGACAAGGGGTGGGACAGATGGCGCACAAAGGATCACTTATGTTATTGCTGAAACTGGATGGTCTGGTGGAGCTCTCGCCACGACCGACCGTGCTTTCTCACTGGTTCCACCCCCTGCTCACCCCCGCACCTCCCCCACCCCCGCCACCAAATGCAGGCCTTGGAAAGACCTGTGGGAGGGAGAGCGGTTGCCTCACGTCGACCACATTCTTCTGGTGGGGTGATGGCGAAACTCCAAACCTGGACCCTGATCTCTGATCCCTCAGCTGCCCATATGGAGGCAGAGCCTGGCCGACCCCACCCTCCAGGGGAAGGGGCAGTCAGGGCATGTGTGGTGGGTCAGGACTGCCTCCTGCGTGGAGGGCGTGGCAGGTGCGGCACATGCTCTGCGTGCGTTTAGCTTCCCGGGGCCAGCATTCCTACTTCAGGCGTCACGTTCGGCTGACGTGATGGTGACGGCGCCGAGTCCCAGCACAAACCACGGGGATGTCACCTTTCTGTGGCTTCAGCTGAAATGGGCAGCTGCAGACCCGTTCACCCCATGAGGGACCCCTGGGACCCACATGCTTGCGAAGATGCCACCTTTTGGCCTCTTCAGCCTCTGGGTGTACGTCACTGGCTGCGGCTCTAACCCCCTGTTTTCAGGGACAGGCCACCCCGTCCCTCGTGCCCGAGGAGACCAGCATTCCGCACCCTCGGTTGCCATCCCTGCCCTGTTTTTAGTGACATTATAGGTGTTTTCTACTGGCATTGAAGATGGCATTTCTTCTTTCTGTTTCTTGTTGTCTCGTTAATCAGTTCCAACAGAAACAGCATAACACTTATTTTTTCCGCATAACTTTTTTTTTGTCCCCACCCTTGCATAAATTTTCCATGTTTAAGCCTATAGAACATCTGTAGAATTAATTCCAGTGAGATGGACAATTACATGAGCACTGGCGCTTGTCTGAATTTCCAGGTGACTTTCAGGGAGGTCATTCTGTAGACAAGAAACACATTCCTTTCTCATGACCATCACTGTGATCGTGAAATAGGCTCTGATGCTAATTCTCCCTTTCTTCTGCAGTTGTCCCTCACATTACTGATGCTGTCCAGGACTGGGTTATGAATCAAGCCATGGTGCCTGTGGATGGTCATAAGGAAGAGCCCCAAATATGCGTTATAGAGGCAAGCATGGAACTTTTCTTTTTAAACTTATAACCTACTGGGTTTTAAAGCATCAGATCTTCATTCATTCAGCAAATACATATAGGTGGCTGGTGTGCTGGACACCAGGTGAAGAGGTAGGATTACAGCAGGAAGCCACATAGCTGGCCCCTGCCCTTGTGGTCATAAGTCAGTGGGCAAGATTGACATTAAACAGGGTGAGTACTTGTGGGGTGGGTGTGATGGTCAGCAGGTGAAGAAAGAACAGACCCTCAGAAAGTCGATGTAAAGCACGCCTCTGTGCCAGGGCCTGGGATGGGCACCATCTCTGGCTTTGAGGGACTTGCAGATGGCCCTGCCCATTTGCACCAACATGCATTCTAGGGGGTGCTGCTTGAGATGTGTGTGCCAAGTTCATTGGAATTAGAGAGAGACAGAGCTAGGGAAGCAGATGGGAGAGGTGATTGGGAGGTGAGTTATGAGTATTAACGGTTTAAAGAAAGAAGATAACATTGAATTTGCCACTAGTTCACTGTGCCCCTTCCTCTGCACGTGCAGAATGAGAATAATATCGATGTCCTTCTTTATTTTTTTTTTAAAGAGGCACGTATTTTATTTATTTATTTATTTGTTTATTTATTTGTTTGTTTGTTTTGTTTTTATACATGCACTGGGTACAGTCAGAAGCGCGGGAGGGTGAGAGAATTCACCAGAGCCAGAGCGGGGAGCAGAGCAGGCAGAAGGACCGAAGGACACTGCTGAGGGGAGCAGCGGGCGGCAGGAGAGGTCTGCGCGCCATGCGGGACCCTCCTCCGGTGGCCGGGGAGCAGCCGGGGATCGAACCGGCGCTGCAGAGGCCGAGGGGAGCTTCGCAACCAAGCGCTCAACCGCTGTGCCACCAGGGAGGCCCCGATGTCCTTCTTTAAATGTCTTTTGTCTTAATTGCCAGGCAGGACAGCAGAATCAGGAACAGCTTGGTTCTTAGCATCATACGGCCCAAGTTCAGATTTCGCCTGTGACCCCTGAGTGGTGTACAGCTCAGTGGTTAGAGTCTGGAGCCAGACTGCTTGGGATCATAGCCCAGCTGGGTCACTTACCAACTAGGGGGACCCTGAACAAGTTTGGTGAATGTCTCTGTGCCTCAATTTATTTACTTGCTAAGTGAAGATAGTGATAATACTTATTGTTTTGAGGATTAAACGAATCAATACGTTTAGTGCTTAGAATAGTGTCATATCTATAGTCTGTGCTCAAAAATTATTAAGCATTAATAAGATGCCTATATGACTTTTGCAGATTGCTTCTCAAGGCCTCTATGTCTTCATCTAAAACAATATGGTAATAATTTAATACTGTAATAATAACAAGATGACAGTAATAGGCTTGTTATGAAGATTAAATGCAATAATATAAAGCACTTGGCACTGCCTGTATTTAGAAAGTGCTCAATAAACATGTTGACTGTTACTGTTGTCATCATTATGGGCATTGAGGAAGACAGTATGTTATCTACTAGATCCACTTTGTTAGTGGTAGAATGGATGAACTTAGCATAAATGAGCTCGACTGTCACATATTAACTATGTCTTGTACGGCTACAGTAGTATGGCTGAAAAAGTTAATGTAACACTCCAGGAAGAATAATATCTGCTATGAGGGCAGGATGCACAAGGGGGCAAGGCTTGATTCTGCAGTGAAGGAGACTTATCCCATCATTTTATTTACTGATTTTCAGTTTTTGGACTCAATCCCCAAGATGCATTAGAGAAGACTTAAAAGCAGGGATGTAAATGTCATCAGCTTTCAAAATAGGATTGGTGAGGTGGTTGGGTGGAGGAAGAGAAAAACTTCATTGTATACTGGGAGGCATCTACAGATACTGTTTTTTAAAAAAAAAAAATTTATTTTTGCGTAGAAGAACTGGGGTATAGGCCAGAGGTATGGGGGTTGAGAAGATTCACCAGAGACAGAGTGGGGGGCAGAACAGGTGAATTTACTGAAATACACTGCTCAGAGGAATAGCAGACAATACAGGAGAGGTCTGCTGCACCATGTGGGTCAGCTCCCTAACCGGGATGGAACTGGGGCCACAGCTGTGCTAGTTCTGAGACTTAACCCCTAGGCCACCAGGGAGGCCCCTGTTTTTGCCTTTTGTTCCCTCATTCTGCTTTTTAAATTAAAAAAAAATATGAAATCACAAGAAATTGTCAAGAAAAATAAAAAAAAGAGAAGAGGAAATATATTTTGTAATGTAATTGAGCTGCCTCTGAACTTCACTAAAACATAAATCCAGGGCTTCCCTGGTGGTGCAGGGATTAAAGTCTCAGAGCGATCAAGCTATCACCAGCCACTGCAACACGAGTTTGATCCCTGGCCAGGGAGGTAATCCACATGGCACAGCAGACCTCTCCTGTCTCACCCTCTGCTCTCCTCAGCAGTGTATTTCAGTAGATCTGCCTGTTCTGCTCCCCACTCTGTCTCTGGTGAATCCTCTCACCCCTCACACCCCTGGCCTGTACCCCAGTTCTTATATGCAACAATAAATAAAAATAAATCTAAAAAAACCCCTCAAAACATAAATCCTGCTTGACCTTAGGATGAGACTTCTTTTTTTTTTTTTCTTAAAGATTTATTTATTTATGCATATAAGAGCTGGGGTACAGGCCAGAGATGCAGTGGGTGAGAGGATTCACCAGAGACAAAGCAGGGAACAGAACAGGCAGACTGACTGAAACACACTGCTGAGGGGAGCAGCAGGCGAGACAGGAGAGGTCTGCCACACCATGTGGGTTGCTCCCTGGCCAGCCGGGGACCGAACTCATGCTGCAGAGGCTGCAGAATGCTTCATAGTGCAGTGCTTAGCCCCCTGCGCCACCAGGGAGGCCCAGGATGAGCCTTCTTAACATTTCTGTTTCATCTCAGCTTTTCTCGCTATTGGATTTTGAGAATTGTCCTTGAACAAAGTTTTTGTTTCATTCTGAGGCTGGTGCACCTTTGTTATAATTTTACAGAGAAATATATTAGAGATTCAGACCCTCGTTGCTGCAGATTCCACTCTTACAATAACATCAAGAATTCTCATGATATCTCAAATAACCGAATTGCAAGCAAACATTTCAGACCTGTGCCTGCATCTCCCCCGCATGTCTTTCTTCTATTGATTTATCTTTATTTTTATTCTGCTCTTGAATTGAATTGTTTGGCCTAATAAATATTCATTTAGCGATGAATATATACCAGTCCCGATCTGGTAGGAGTATGAGGGCTAATGGGATTGGACTCCTGCTCGCCAGGACTCATCATCTCGATTTTTAATTTCATGGAAACAGAGAAACTGACTAGTTGTCTCCAGCAAACCCCCTTCTCTGTATTACCCTGATGTTTACATTTATTTGTAGGTCGGGAATTCCTTGAGTTCATTTTAAGTTGTGCCCAACCATTGTGTTTGTGCTTGATTTAAGCTTCCGAAGGACACCAAAGTTGACTTTGAGTTTTAAGTATGTAGAAGCTGATGAAATGTCCCTAGTCATTTTATGGGTGAGGTCTCCATCTCTCAGATCAGTGGCCCTCAGAGGCTTTATTCTTATTAGCACAGTGATCTAAGCATGAACTTGAACTAATTCATGCCTGCCTTAGAGGAAAACGAAAGGTTTATTTTTTGTTCAAAGAAGAAGACTCCTTTCCTTAAAGGCAAGGTATGAGATAGGACATTTCTCATAAATGTGCTGCTGTTTCAATTTCAGCTTCGGATTGATCTTAAAATATTGTGGGTGATATTTTCCCTGTTGGATGGGGAAACAGTTAATCTAGGACTATTTTAGTAATCATTCTGAAAGTTTCTGATCACAACGTTGATAATGGGGAACCAGAAGAAGCTCTACTGGGACCTTTCAAATTGGCGAGGGAATGCGGTTCCACTTTTGCCCATGTGAGGGCAGAAGCGCATAACGCTTGAGGCTTTGCCTTCTTTACCGGCCTCTGCGGCTCACAGCGCACCCCCACCGGGGAACAGCCTCGCAGTCAGCGCCCGGGGGTCTCTCTGAGCACGTCCATGGGCAGCCGCCTCACCCCCACTGAGTCCTGGTTCCACAGTCAGGTTTCAGAATCACCCACCCCAAACCACTGCACTGGCCCTCCCACATCTGGATGAGAAGGCTCGGGCTGAGTCCACTGGCAGCAGACACACAGGGGGACCGGTGGGGCGCTGGGGGCAGGGGCCGGGGGGTGGAGGGCAGAGAGGGCTGATTCCTTATAGAAAAAGTTGGTCAACCCCCATCTAAATAGCTTCCCAGTCGCCACCTTCTGCCCTACAATCTCTCCCGTGCTTAGGCCCTTCAGTGGTTCGCTACTTCACTAAAAATAAAACCTAAACTGCTTTACACAACTACAAAAGGCCCTTCCAGATCTCACCCTGGAGCCCTTCTTTAAGCTCAGATCAAGTCCCCATCACCCTTCCCCCAGCCTCCCCTCCTCCCTACTGCTTCGGCCTGCTGGCTTTTCAGTGCTCACATCGACCCTCCCCCTTAAGGCCTCCTTCCTGCCTTCATCATTCCTCTCTGCTTCACCCTTCAGTCCAGGGAGCTGTGCCCTCACCCCCAACCCTGCTCTGATCACCCACCTAGTGCATCCTGGCTCCTGCGGCTCCCCACCCCAGCACCCTGCCCTTCCCAGCCACTCAGCTCAAGGGGCCGTTTTGTCATGTGAGTCCGTTTCCTCATGGGCCCCACTCTGGTGTAGACAGGAGCGGGGCCGGTAGGACTGTACCTGTGTTTCCCCAGCACAAGCCCAGCATCCTGCCCGCAGCGGGGGTGGGGGGGTGGGGGGGGGGTGGGGCGGCTAGCCTAGTGGTCAGGACAGGACAGAGGTCTCACAATTCAGTCTGCTCCCTAGGTCACAGTTCTACTGCCTGTTACTGGAATTCCAATGGACCCAAACTAAGAAGCCTCAGGGTTATGAGGATTACAAAGGAATCCTGTGGTTCACTGAGTCTCTGTCACAACTACCCGGCTCTGCCAGGGAAAGCAGCCCAGGCCATATGCAAACGAATGGGCATAACTGGTGCCAATAATACTTAATATATAAAAACAGGCAGTGGGCTGCAGTTTACCACTTCCTTGTTCAGATTATGGCAATAATTCCCACAAAAGCTGGTGTTGCCTGGGGTGTCATGGTGGATGGCAATGGAGATAGAGAGCACTGTGAAGATTTTCTAGAGGTTTTGGAAGTCCAATCCACTGGATTGGCTCCGTGAAGAAAAGAGGGGTGATGGCTGAGTTCCAGACTTCTTGCTATAACAGGTTCCTTGCGGGGAACCTGGAACCTCCCCCTTTCCTGGGGGCCACCCTGTTACATAGCTTGAACTTGGTCTTGGGGGAGATACTGTGTGCTGAGATGAGGAAGCCCCCAGAGAGACAGGCTCAAGGCGGGGGTGGGTGGTGGGGGAAACTGAGAATTGAGTTTGGCACTTGGTACATTTGAGTAATTGTTGAACACTCCAAGATGTCAAGGGTGAGTTGTCTCCAAAGCCTAAATGAGCTGGCAAGAGGTCAAGGCTTAAAGTAGCTTTTAGATCCAGCCAGGTAGCCAAAGCCACAGAAGATGGTGCATTCTGGGACGGGCTCCGTTGAGATCTCGTGTTCTTCCATGTCCAGGTCACTCCACTGAGAACTTGTTTTTGTTTTACTCTTGGTGCTTGTTCCTCACCTCTACCTCATTTCCCTCCATAAATTCTGAGCTTCTTAGGAGCACATTGTCTTAAATTCTTCCTGTCACCTCATTTCTAGCCTTGAGCATGTAGTTGGTGTTCAAATGCTAGAGAATTCATCTCAAAATCTATGTGGTGGCCTTTAAGTATTTAAATATGGTGAGGGCGAATGGATTAAGGTGAATTTTATCCTAGTCTAAATGAAAATGTCAGCATAATTTTACTGGAAGCACATTCATTGTAAATTAAGTTAACATTTATGCAAGTATTACAATGTTAGGAATGTTCTTAGAGCTCTTGGTAGTACTCCCTTCAGAAAGACAACATGTTTGAACAGTAGTGACTTCATTCTAAAGTGCCACCATTATAAGGACACTGTTCAGATGCGAGCAGGGCATGTGTGCACATGTGCGCGTGCGCGCGCACACACACACACACACACACACACACACACACACACACACACACACAGAATGCTCTATTCCTGCCAGACAGAGCCAGGCGGCTTATATTCTCAGTGGATTTGGGCTTTGCCTTCCTGCTGGACTTCTGGGAGAAACTAGCTTATCTCGCTCATTTGTGGCCTATATTTTGGCCTCTGTGTATGAATTCGTTTCTCTTTTACTAAAGCTCTCCGTTTTCTTTTTTAAAACATTTTCATTTGGGGCAAGATGAAGGCTGGGTCACCTTATGAGGACCTGCCATTTTGGGAGCAGGGGGAACTGACTCGCCTGTAATATCCTAGTGAGTCACTGATGCATTTTCTTAACTTTGTCCATGTCGCCTCACCATGGAAGAGTAATCTCATCCGTAGGGATTAGCTCATTCTTGAAGGCCTCCCGACCTTGCTTTCTCTGCCCTTCCTCACACTGCTTGCCTGGCTGGGCTATACGTCACCTCTTTCTTCCTATGTTGCCTTCAGCTTGCCATTTTCTCTTCCCTTTGCTTCATCTCCCTTTTAAGGGTTACAGCGCTTTTCTGTTTCTAACAGCTTCAGTGAAGTTTAATCTACATGTCATGAATCTCACCTATTTTGAGCGTGCAATTCAATGATTTTTAGGCCAATTGTGAACGTCTGTTCTTGTGCCGTGGAAGATCACCGGTGTCTTCTTTTCCCCTCCCAGCTGGGTGGCACCATCGGAGACATTGAAGGAATGCCATTTGTCGAAGCCTTCAGGCAGTTCCAGTTCAAGGCAAAAAGAGAGAATTTCTGTAATATCCATGTTAGCCTTGTTCCTCAGGTGAGCTTTCCAGATAAGTACGTAGATAGCAACTTCTCTACATCTTCCTGTGGTATTCTGTTTATTCCATATTTTCAATGGGGGAGCCATACATTGCCCAGAAAGCGCCATGTCCAGTGTGCTGACGGTGACCCATTTCTTGCAGCCCAGTGCCACCGGAGAGCAAAAAACCAAACCTACACAGAACAGTGTCCGAGCGCTGAGGGGGTTAGGCCTGTCTCCAGATCTGGTGAGTTAAGGAGAGTGGGTAAGTTTCTTGGAACTGGGCCGCCATCTCTTCATCGATAATATCACCTAAGTCCTTTCTGGCTCTCTAATGTTTCCTGTGAGCCTTCGTATGTGGGAGCCTAGTCCCCCTCCTCAGCTGTTGCTCCATCTATTTCTGAATCCACCATCCCTTCTCCTGGCCCTCACTTCATTGGCCACACTGACAGCTGGGCAGGCACAATGTCCTGTCATTTGTATGTCCCTGAGGCCTTTCGAGTGGGGTGGGACCTGCACATTGTGCTGTGACCCCGCTAGACTGGGGTATGACATCATTGCTCTTATCTATAGTAGGTTATCCAGGTCTAGCTCAGGGGTCAGCAAACGACGGGCTGCAGCCTACTGTGACCTATAAGTCAAGTTTGATTGGAAAGCAGGACTGCCCTTGTTTTCATTTGTCTCCAGCTGCCACTGCACCTTGAGGAACAGTTAAGTAGTCAGGACAGTGATGCATGATGGGTAAAACCCAATATATTTACCATCTGGCCCTTGAGACAGTAAGTTGGCCGATCCCTGGGCTAGCTCTGTTCTTGCAGTTTTAAAGAAGCCACACTTGTGAGACTTGACTCCACTCACCAGAGACGCCTGCACACTTCCTGTAGCTGTGTGTGGAGTTTAATATCCATGTCAGCAGGTGTGCCCAGGCCAGTTTCAGATCATACATCACAGGCCCAGGATGAGAGCATATACTTGGGCAAGTGTCTTGTAGCAAAAAGAAATTAAAATAGCATCCTCCTGAAAATTAATGGGAGTGGAAACAACCCGATTCCTGCCTGCTGATCTGTGCGCAACTACCTTTGACAGATTGTCTGCCGAAGTTCGAAGCCCGTCGAAATGGCTGTGAAGGAAAAGATTTCCATGTTTTGTCATGTCAACCCTGAACAGGTTAGTGCTGCTTTTCAGATTTTAGTATCTTGCAGGCACTTCTATTGATGCCAACTTTGGCACCTTTTAAATGATCCTGGCATTCCCCACCACATTTTTTTTTAAGATTTATTTATTTTTGCATTCAAGAGCTGGGGTATAGCCCAGAGGTGCAGGGGGTGAGAGGATCCACCAGAATGGGGAGCAGAACAGGAAGATTGACTGAAATACGCTGCTGAGGGGAGCAGCGGGGAGGCAGGAGAGGTCTGCTGCGCCATGTGGGTCAGGTCCCAGGCTGGCCAGGGATTGAACTCGGGCTGCAGTGGCTGTGGATAGCTTCATAGTGCTGAGACTTAACCCCTTGAGCCACCAGGGAGACCCCCATCACATTTTTGAAAAGCTTTGGGGCACTCCTACCCAGCCCCACTCCCTTGCCCTCAAAAGAACACTGGAGGCTCCTGGTTCCTTGGGCAGATTGTGTGACTTTGCCACTTACTCCTTAACGAATAGCTACAAAAGCAGCCTGCTTTTCATCTCTTTAGTGTCTTTCAGGGACGCTGTCCCTGTGATTCCTCCTTTTTATGCCTTCTAGCTCGACTCACCCCAAACCACACACTGCACAGACTTTCACGCGACCAAACCGGATCACGTGAGTGAGCTCCATTCACTTCGTGCCTGTGGACACTGTGCAGTGATGTGGACTCGGGTCTGAGAGGCAGCGTCTCCCTTTTCTTTCCTTCTCTTAGCTCTGTCTCTTGTTCTCAAGAAGGCTCCGTGGAAGGGATCAGGGAGGCTATAGTTTAAAAAAGTGATATTAAATGGCGTTCAGACAAGGGTGAGGTAATTTCTTCCAGGGCGTTCTCTGAAGTCTACAAACCACTGCCTAGGGATCCCGCATCTCAGAGGCGGGTGGCCCTTCTGCAGGTCAGTGCGCCTGGCTGAGCTGCTGTGACAAATGTCACAGCAGGTTCACAGCACTTTCTGGGATTTGCGTGTCGCCAAGTCATTGTGGTTTTGTGTGATTGGTTTTTGCATGTCTCCTATTTGTACTTTGTGTGTTTATTAAACAAATGCGAACAGGTCTCTGGATGAGGAGGAGGAGATGGCTTTTAGAGCTGGGTTGTGAGAATCCTGAGAATGGAAGCTTAATCCAGACTATTGACCGGATCCAAGGAACCTGTTTTCTCTGTGGATTCTGGGGCAGGCTCTGTTGCACCAGTGCTCGGGCTAGTTTATTCCTTTTTTTTTTTTTTTTTTTTCAGCACATCATCTTTTTTTTTTTTTCCTGACAAGTTCATTCTCCCGTTTCTTAGTTTCTGGCCAGTTTGCATTTACAATTGTCTTCTGGATTGCTGAGGGAGGATCATGGTGTCTCTGCGGACGGGGTCTGTTTCCATGATGTCTGCAGAAGTCTCTGGCCCAGAGGATGAGCGAGTAGAGAGCTCTGCACTGCACGCCTTCCACGCTGGAGGTCGTGGCTGTCCAGAGATTTCATTTTAATTTGCACCTGGGATGGAGCCTCATGTCAGTGGCAACTTGGCACTTTGGATGGCACTGATGGAGGCATAGTGGGGCACAGTGGTCTTAAAGTATTTAGCTGGTGATGTCCAAACAGCTTAGGAACCCTTGATTGGATAACTATGGATTTGGAAAGACTAAACACAGAGTTGGCAGAACGTTTCTTGGCATTTGTTTAGGACGTGGCAGCTCCTTAAATGCCTGCCAGTAGTCCCTTGGATGTACTTGCGAGGATGGTGACAGCTCATTAGGGAAAGTGTGAAAAACAACCACCCTACCTGGCATTTAAAGGAGCCGTTCTTGTCTAACACAGGTGTAATTAATTGGACTGTGGTCAATGTGTGCTTGTAAATCTTCCCAAATGAAGGGAGCGGACAAAAGCAGCTACTGCAGGCGCAACAGCAAATGAACAAACGAGCCTCCTACTTAGCCAGTTAGAAGATGAGGTGTGTGTACTCGGGGCTGCTGCTTTAACCCAGACTCAGATGGTGCCCGGAGCCGTGGCCTGGGATGCTGACATACAAAGCCTCTGTCGTTCTAGCAGATTCTCTGACACCAGCTGGGGGTCCCGCATTTCAACTTTGACGCTAACTACCCAGAGCGACATTGGACTCCACAGGTTGGAGGGCTGAATCCTGTACAAGACTGCCTGCCACTGCAGACAGCAGTCACACGTTTCTAGTGTCCCCAAGCCGCCCACACTTATGTCTGGCTGACTACAAATGTGCCACTTCCCATAATCCCCTCGGGTTCAATACTTCTCTAAATGACTCACAATACTCAGGAAAGCGCTACACCTTCGGTTACTGTTTTACTGTAAAGGGCGCGAAGGGACTGCCAGAGGAGGAGACGCACGCAAGGGCTTGGACGTCTTCATCGGGCGCACAGGACTGTTGGTCCCCGTGGCGTCAAGTTTCACTCCCCTCTGATACTTCTGTACATTCACCAACCAGCACGGCCCCAAGTCTCAGTGTCCAGTTTTGGGTTTTTGTTTTTTTTTTTTTTGCAGCAAATTGTAAAACTTTATAGAAAGCGTTTTAAAGGTCAAATATGCAACATTAGAATAGTTTGCATTTTTGCTGCTCTTCCTTGTTTAAACCTGCGCTTGCCCTTCACCTGCTTCTGGCATTTTAGCAGGCTCTAGATTTGGTAAAATCTCCTCCTTAGCTTGAAGATCATCTCTGCCTTCAGCCCCAGTCTTTGGCTGAGGCAGTTCCTGGAGATCACTTTCTGGTGTTAGGCCCTTTCCCTTCATCTTGAAGCACAGCTCCTCCTTCATCTTTTTTCTCCTGACCGGGTGTAATATCCTGACTCTCAGTTGGTGACCCCTTTCCTTGCAGTTGCTTATCAATGAGAACCAAAGGTCCAAGTGGCTTGGAAGGTTCTCGATCATCTTGTGATCCTTCAGATTTGGATCTTGTTCTTACATGTCCACTTATTTTTCACACCTCTAAGTCTCAGCTTGTGAGTAAGAATCAAGACAGAAGAACAACCGCCTCAGGTCCAGCTCTGCTCTTAGCACAGGAACAGTGTATCCAGAGTTTTTATTGGGGTTTCAAGACATAGGCAGGATTGACTAAATCACTGGTCACGTGATTAAACTCAATCTGTGCCCTCTGCTCTCCGGAGGTCAGGTGGCTGAAAGTTCCAGCCCCCCCCAATGACTTGTTTAGTTTTTTAGTTTTTCTGTTGCCCAGTTTTCATCCTGCCGCCACCTACCTAGGCTTTTCGGGTGTCCCCTCATTAACATAAGATGGCCCTGCCACTCAGGAAACTCCAAAGGGTTTGGAAAGTCTGTGCCAGGAACTGGGAACAAAGATATATATAACAATATATAACTATATATATATTTTTTTAAATACTTTTTTTGTAAAGATTTATTTGCTTATACAAGAGCTGGGGTACAGGCCAGAGGTGCGGGAGGGTGAGAGGATTCACCAGAGACAGAGCAGGGAGCAGAACAGGCAGATGGACCAAAAGCACTGCTGAGGGGAGCAGTGGGCGAGACACGAGAGGTCTGCCGCGCCATGTGGGAATCTCCCTGGCTGGCTAGGAATCGAACCTGCACTGCAGAGGCTGCAGACAGCTTCACAGTGCTGCGCTCAACCTGCTGCACCACCAGGGAGGCCCTATATATATTTTTTATCCTACCACCACATCCATGGTTCTGGAGGTAGAAAAAGGAATTTGAAATGTTTGACAATTAGATCATACTAAACTTGTGTTAATTTTGACTCTGGTTTCACTTGCGGGGTGCTCGGTTTTCTTCTCAGTCTAAATGGATTGCGGTCTCAATTGAGTTTTGGCTCATTCTTGAACTTATTCTTCTGGTGTACTTGAGTGGTTTCATCTAAATCTGGTGTTTTCTCATCATCAATCAGGTGATATGTATCCATGACGTTTCATCCACATACCGAGTGCCTGTGCTTTTGGAGGAACAAGGCATTGTTAAATATTTCAAAGAGAGACTGGATCTGCCCATTGGTGATTCTGCAAGTAATTTGCTTTTCAAATGGAGAAATATGGCTGACAGGTACGTGAAAGGAAACACTAATGGAATCTTTAATAATTCCTGGGCTTGGGGATAGGACTGAGAGATACCTTAAAGGAACCTGTATTGCATTTGGCTTCCTGTATGTGTATGGATGTATCTAAGGCGCTAACACATTGTTGGTTTGCTGTATTCTTTCAAGATTTCAGGGGCCTTTGATTTTGCTCTAATTAACCCAAAAGGAATGGAAGAAATTTAGATTCTGGAATTATTATTATTTTTTTAATTCTAGAAGGATTTTGCTTTATTTATTAGTCTATTTCTTCATTTCTGAATATTTGAAACAGATTTATATATCACAGGTTGTTTTTTCTTGGTTTTCTTTTTTTTTTTTTTTTTTTTAAAGATTTATTTATTTATTTATACAAGCACAGGGTACAGTCAGAAGCGCGGGAGGGTGAGAGAATTCACCAGAGCCAGAGCAGGCAGAAGGACCGAAGCACACTGCTGAGGGGAGCAGCGGGCTGCAGGGGAGGTCTGTGCGCCATGTGGGACCCTCCTCTGGTGGCCGGGGAGCAGCCGGGGATCGAACCGGCTCCGCAGAGGCCGCGGGCAGCTTCGCAGCCCAGCGCTCAACCGCTGCGCCATCCGGGAGGCCCTTTCTTGGTTTTCTTTTGCGTGTTTGTTTTTCAAATCTTTTTAAAGATTTATTTATTTATACAAGAGCTGGGGTACAGACCACAGGTGCGGGAAGGTGAGAGGATTCACCAGAGACGGAGCAGGGAGCAGAACAGGCAGATGGACCGAAAGCACTGCTGAGGGGAGCAGTGGGTGAGACAGGAGAGGTCTGCTGTGCCATGTGGGAATCTCCCTGGCTGGCTGGGAATCGAATCCACACTGCAGAGGCTGTGGACAGCTTCACAGCGCTGTGCTCAACCTGCTGCGCCACTGGGGAGGCCCCTGTTTTGCTTGTTTTTAAGAGTTGGCTAACATGTTCTAAAGAAAATCCTTATAAATGGGAAGTTTGGGCTATAACATCGCTCTTCTACCCTGCAGCTCTTAACTACCAGCAATGTTATTAAAATCCTGGATAGGTTTTAGTTTTAGGACAATAGTCATTTCAGGGAGGTCGCTGTCTTTTGAAGTCATATGCAGATTAAGGCCCCCTTGCGGCCTTGCTTTCATTCACCCTAGAGGAGCTTCAACTCCATGACGTCCTGGCTGCCCAGCTTCTGCCACTTGGGCAGAGACAGGAGGTGCAGGGGTCACAGATGTCAGCGTGACCTCATGCAGCACGGACTCAGACCTCAGCGCCTGCGCTCACTGGCTGTGTGAGTTTGGGAAGATTGTTTAACCTCTCCAGGCTTGTTCTCATGCAGATACAGCAGCGGGTTGTCTTTGGGTTTAGGACTCCTCCAAATCCAGGGTGATCTCATCTTGACAGCCTTAAACTTAATTACATCCTCAATTCAGACCCTGTTTTCCAGATAGGGTCATATTCATAGGTTCTGGGAGACACATGTTTTGGGATTGACCGTTCAGCTCATCTCAGTCTTCAAGCAAAGGCGATACTGAGCATCAGTCCCTCTAAATCGTGCTGGCTGTCTCGGTTCATTGGGCATGGCGGTATGGAGTGTCCACTCTTTGACCCCGTCCCTTCAGCACAGCCTGTAGAGAGATACTAAGAGGCAAGCAGGGGTCAAAGGAAAACCTTGATCATGGAGGTCCAGTGCGGCTCAGAGGCCAGGGTGCCTGGCTTTTTTTTTTTTTTTTTTTTATAGAGGCATGTTTTATTTATTTATTTATTTTTTTGTTTGTTTATACATGCACTGGGTACAGTCAGAAGTGCGGGAGGGTGAGAGAATTCACCAGAGCCAGAGCGGGGAACAGAGCAGGCAGAAGGACCGAAGGACACTGCTGAGGGGAGCAGCGGGCGGCAGGAGAGGTCTGCGCGCCATGTGGGACCCTCCTCCCATGGCCAGGGAGCAGCCGGGGATTGAACCCAGCGCTCAACCGCTGCGCCACCGGGGAGGCCCCAGGGTGCCTGGCTTAACTGAGTCCCAGGACATCGCACCTGGGACCCCAGGCCACAGTGGGGACAACAACCCCATATCTGGGGACTTGCCTGTGAAAGATGGGCCCCGATTGCCTCCCACCAGCAGCTCACAGCAGTGGTAGCAGCTTGCCTCTCACACTGTGTCAGTTGGTGACCCCGTGGAGAGTGAGGCTGGTCTGTCCAGTGCCCCGGGGGCCTGGCCTGCGAGTCCCAGTGGGAAGACAGCACGGGGGAGGCGGGCTTAAGGTCCTACCTGGACAGCGATCCTTCTGCCTGGTCAGTGTGAACCAGTGGACTCACCTGTCCCACCGGTGGGGTTGACTCCATTCTGCTTCCTTCCGGAAGTTCCATGCAGAGTCCTCCCTCAGTGGAGGATTGAGAACAGGGGCGAGGGCTGGCCAAGCTCTATGCTCAAATGTGCTTGTGATGGCCAGTTCCCCAGGTCACACCCCGGGGCCGAAGCAGTGACTTCCGGTGTCGGCTGGGAATCTTGACTTGATGCCAACTGGCTTTGTTTCGGCGTCCTTCATGCAGAGATAGGGGGATGCACAGGCAGCCACGCAATCTCCAGAGCCACATAAAATTAACGAGCATGCTAAAGTTAGCAGCCTGCTCTTGGGTATTTCGGTTACTGTCCTAGTAAGTCACCCTTACTAGGTGACTTCTAAGCGTCTTGTGCATTTTTCTCCTTCCAGCGTGTTTGCAACCACGTTTCTGTTGCATTTTTGGCCGAATTTGAAATGAATGAGGACTATTCCTCATCACAATAATGTTTTTGTTCTAAGGCATTTGGGAGGAGATTGGTTTCAAAGCCTTATAAAACATCTTCAGCCCCAAGATGACATTCCACCTACTTAGCACCGGCCTGACATCTTTCATGTCCTTTGAACAGATTCCCTGACAAAAGCAACAGTAAAGATTGTGTCTCTAATGGTAAGATGTGGTCGAGCATCTTACAAGAATGGGATTTTCTCATAAAAATGATGTAAATGGCTTGTAATATTTTAAATAGTTCTCCTAGCACCATTCTTTTGGCATGCCATGAATACCCAGGCTTTTGTGGGCCTGCTGGGAATGTAGCCATTTTTAATGTAGACACTTAGAATGCATTTTCTTACATAATGTCACCTTACAAAGCTAATATTGAAATGTTGCCTGTTGCCTCTCAGAATGCACAGTCTTATATGTTGTCACCTTATGAACGAATTTAAGGACAACTCATGTTTATGAGATGTGGACAGCTCTTTTATTTTTAATGCTTCCTCCCCCTCCAGTTTTATTGATATATGATTGATATCCAACACTATATAAGTTCAAGGAATACAGTATAATGATTTGACTCATCATGACTAGATCATGAAATGATTAGCACCATAACTAGTTAGCATCCATCTTTCTCTGTGGATATGAAAAAAAGAAAGAAAAAGAAAGATTTTCTCCATGTAGTATTTTCAATGCTTTTAATTTTTTCTCTGATACACTTTCCTTGGATTTATATCTGTCCCTGCTTATGGAAGCCAGTGTTGGACTTCTCATGATTTTGAAATCTTCTGGCATATAGATTTTGGATCTTTGGGGCTGGTTGGGGATTTGAGTCAAGCTCATAAAGTCTGGCCTCGTCTAGTCTACAGTCTTAGGGATAAGAATGCCTTGGAATAAGAATGGTAGCTGTCGTGGTGTTTGTGATGTTATGGTACATGCATATGACCTTTAAGCTTGTCTTCCTTCCTAGGTACGAGAGGTTACAGAAAACCTGCTCCATAGCCCTGGTTGGCAAATACACCAAGCTCAGGGACTGCTACGCCTCGGTGTTCAAAGCCCTAGAACACTCAGCCTTGGCCATCAACCACAAGTTGAAACTGATGGTGAGTCCTGGCCAGACTTCCAGATATCCACGCCATTCATCGTGATAGTGCATGTTGCAGAGAGAAGCAGGTTGGAGGGTCCCCACGACCACCTCCACAGGACTCACGATATTCAGCGTATAATTGGACGTGTGGCTAAGATTTCTTACAGTGAAAGGATACAGAACAAAGCCAGCGCAAAAGGCACACAGGACAAAGTCCTGGAGAAACTGGGTGCAAGTCTCTGAGAGACCTCCCCGAAGTGGTGTCACAATTTGCAATTGATCCCCCAGCAGTGAGTTGTGACAACACGTGTGAAGTGCTGACTACCGGAAAACCTCATTAGAGGTTCAGTGCCCAGGGATTTTATTGGGGACTGATCACGTAGGCACCCTCAACCTACCAAGTACCAACATTCTTGACTCCCAGAAGGAAGGCACGCGTTGAGCAGAAAGCATGTTGTTTCTACAGACACTTTAGGCACAGTCTGGCAGCCATCAGTCCCCTTTCCAAATCCAAGTTTCCAGGTGTCAGTCAAGGGCCAACTTTATAAGCAGACCTTTCTAAGCCAACAGTCAGGCCTGCTATGTTCACTTTTTCCACATAGAGGTTTAAGACACAATTTCTGATACTAGGTTTTGCACGTGCTGGGAAATAGACACTTCCTGCTAGTGTAAGTACACGGCATTTACCTAACAAGAAGATAATAGAGCTTTTTCTCCTCCAGCATTGAAATCCAATCTGTATTTTTCTTTTAAAGATTTGTTTATTTATGCATACAAGAACCGGGGTGTAGGCCAGAGGTGTGGGGGGGTGAGAGGATTCACCAGAGTGGGGAACAAAACAGGCAGGTCTGCTGAAATACACTGCTGAGGGGAGCAGCGGGCGAGACAGGAGAGGTCTGCTGTGCCATGTGGGTAGCTCCCTGGCCAGGGATCAAACTCAGGCCACAGTGGTGATAGCTTGATAGCACTAAGACTTAACCCCTACGCCACCAGGGAGGCCCCAACAAGCTTTTATAATGTCTTTAAAATTGTGTATCTTAAGATATATGCAGGTATCAAATATACCTATCTAGTTTTTGCAAGGGAAATACTAAATATAGATATATAGGGACAATATATACAGGAATTGTATATGGTTTTCATTTAACAGAATTCATTGACATTAGCTTCTGCTAAGTACCGTTTGAATCACGGTCCTATATTCTTTTTAAGACCAGCTTTTGCTGTCTTTATCTCGCCTGGCTTCTTCCCAGCTTCTCCATTTTCCACATTGTACTAGAATGATTTTTCTAAACTCACTCTTTGTTCCTTAAGATCTTTCCATGTTTCAAGTATAAACTTCTCTTGTGGGGTGGAGCCTCATTTGAAGGTGCCGGGGTGGCCCCCATTCTCTCTCTTTCCTCCATACAAGCTGTTTGCCTCTTCTCCTGCCTTTATCCCCTCACACCTTCCCGCCTCCCTCCTTAGCTGCACATACGTGCTCGTCTTGCTCCCATTTGCCCTCGGGACCTGGCGTCGTGGATGTCGATTCCCCAGACATCTTCCCTGATGTCACTCCTTTGTTTCTTGCCTCCAGCATCCAGGCCTAGGGTAGGCGGTGCCTCCTGGTTCCTTCCCCGGCGCTGCCTTCTGTGCCCGTTCCTGTCACCACAGTCTAGCCTGGATGCTTATCTGTCTGCTTTCTTCATCTTCCTGAGAGTTGATAAGATCCCAAGACAGAGCTCATGCTTTTCTAGCACCATGTTTGGTAGAGTGTTTGTGCAGTTAAGTCGTTACTGAATAATTGTGTCATGGTGTGAGATGGCTCTAGCCTTTTCGAGTATTTATTTTTCTTCAATGTTCTTTTAATTGGTTGGATTTTTTTTAATTGAGGTAACATTAGTTTACAACACTCTACATTCCGGGCGTAGAGTTTCTCACCTTAGCAACTGTATATCTCACCACACACCCACCACCCGATGTCAGTCACTGCCTGCCACCCAGCCAGCTGTCTCTATCCATTCCCTCCCACCTCAACTCTGGTAACCACCCTTCTGTTGTCAGAGTCTAAGGTTTTGGGTTTTTTTTTTAGTTTTGTTCCTTTGTCTTTTTTTCCGTTTGTCTTTCACACGTGAGTAAAATCCTGTTTATCTTTCTCCTGACTTACTTCACTTAGCATAACTCGCTCAAGGTCTACCCATGTTGTCACAAATGGCAGGATTTCATCTTTTTAACGACTGAGTAGTAGTCCACTGCGTACATATAGCACATCTTTGTGTTGGATGTTTTTTAGTACATAGACTCCATTGATCTGGAGCAGACCACCAAATCTGAGGACCCTGTGAGATTCCATGAAGCTTGGCAGAAGCTCTGCAAGGCTGAGTAAGTACTGGGGAGCACCCTTACTAGCGAGGGGAATGCCCACTGTGTTTTACCTAGAGTGATTTGAATTACTCCAGTTACTCAATTTTGTGCATTTTGAGAAGCAATTTGGAGTACTTGTGGTTATGTCTCATTCACACTGAATTTCTTTTGAAAGGTGCCATGTTAATTCTTGTGGCATGTGCAATTTGAAGTGGTTTGATTTGGTGGAGAATGAGGATATTGTATTGGAAAGAAAGTGGTTTGATACAAAGTTACAAAGTTAAATATAGGAACCATTCTCTCTTGGCTATATTTTCTCTTCCACATTATTTGATTCTAGGTTTTATTTTGTAAATAATCAGCAGCATTGTATTGTGGAGGGAGCATGAGTCCATGGCTTTTCTCTTGAACACTTGTCTTTTTCAAAGGAGAGTGTTTGTCTAGAAAGTCTCAATAGTGTCTTCTAGCCAGGAAATTTTCATGCACCACTCGTAATCAAAACCTGAAACCTTAGGCTGGATTTTACCAGATTAACTCTTTCTGACTGTAAGAGAGATCTTAACCTTTTTATGATAGTGCTTTTAAAAGAAACTTTACTATTTTTATTCAGATTATTCCCCCAGTGGTATTTTGAATTGAGTCATGTTTCTCAGTCATTGTGTTCACAAACCCCAAAGACCTATCAGAAAATATAGATCGAGGTCAGCTGTGAGAAATTGTCACAATTTCATTACATTGGGAGGATTTCAAAAGAAAGTTGTGGATGCGAAATCATGTAGTCAGTTCTGAAAATCAACCTCAGACATATTCCCTAGCAGTTGTACCGAGGCTTGGATTTGGGATCATTAAGCTTGTATGGCTGAAAGCAAGAGTTTTCAAAATAAAAATCATGTCAAATTCAACCTCATCTTGTATTGGTTGCAGCGGTGTTCTTGTGCCAGGAGGCTTCGGAATCAGAGGAACGTTGGGAAAACTGCAGGCGATTTCTTGGGCAAGGTCGAAGAAGATTCCTTTTCTGGGTAAAGCTCATGTTTATGGATCCTAACTATGAGTTGATTAGATTTTTTGATATGTAATAGGGGTAACATTTAACAGGGTTTGTTAATATAAAAGGTGTGAACTCAGAGTTGAATATCAGGTGCCAAGTAGTCTGTTAGAGGGGTGAACACACTATATCCTGCAGACCAGACTTAGCTTTCAGTCTGTTTTTATAAATAAAGTTTTATTGGAATACCGCCACACCAATTTGTTGACATATTTTCTATGGCGGCTTGTGGTACAATGGAAGAGCTTGACCCTACAGTCTGCATAGCCTAAGATCTTTATTATCCAGCCCTTTATAGAAAAAGTTGGCCAACCTAGAAGAAGTTGCCACTCTTCCGGGTGGGTGGCAAGAGGCTGGAAGGAGTCGCTGCCCACAACTGCCTTTATCATCTCCGATTCCCACCCTGATTTGTCTTCTCATCACGAGAACCATTCAACAGATCTCCATAATGGTCTTTCCAATCAGAAAAATAAAAGAGTTTAAGTTGAAATTTCTCTGCCTGGTCTAGAAAAAGTAATAGAGAAAGATTATCCAGCATCATACAAAAAGCTCTGTTCAAATTTGGTAGAGTTGAGTCTTTTTAATGGTTTTGTTCAAATTGCCACAGCCTGGCTTCTATACCCATGAAGCCAGATGAAACAGGTCATTGCTGGGAACCAGCGGTGCTGCAACTGGGGGTTCAGGCAGAAGAGGGACTGGGGAAAGCCTGTGTTTCACGTGGTCCATGGGGGTATTTCTGGGTTTACCAACCCAGTGGACGGGCTTTGGGGCCTTGTACTGTCAGTACACTGACTTCCCTCTCCCCACTGCCTGTTTTTTGATTAGCTTTCTAGATGCTCTCCACTTGGGATCTGTTTTCAAAAGAGAAGCCGAGAGTATTTACCTTGACATTTTGCTTTGTTTTCCCATCATCTGGGTCATTGTTTTCTTTGGAAGTATCTGGTTCTGCTTTATTCTAAACATGGGTAGTGTTCTTCAGATAATTGACAAGGCATAGGGTACATTTCTCTTTAACAGTCTCTTTTATGTCCTAGCCTTATGGAACTTTGTGAAGTCCGCCCAAAGTGCTTAGCTGTTTCATGCCTGTTGACTTTTGTTCTGGCATGCCTGCTATATTGATTGCTCTCTCTTTTGAGTCTCTTGGATGTCTTGGATATGTCTGTAAAGCACCTGGAATGCTCTGTGGCATTAGTTTAGTGGAGAGAACCGGGGGGCCGCAGTGATCACAGGGAATGGCCAAAGGGTTCATCTCTGTGACTGATGATCTGGGGCTCCCTGAGTCTTCTCCTTACCGAGCTCTCTGTTCACTGCCATTTTGGGTCTCCTGTCCCTGTTCTGCCCCATGCCCATGCCCACAGGGGAGGCGCCCATTCTCCCCACCTGTGGCAACCTGCCACAGACCTGTGGTTCCTGAGATGCCAGTCCCCTCCTCCGGCTGTCCTGAGGCAAACTTGTATTTAAGTCTGTGAAATCACCTGGAGGTGGGAGTCTCAGCCCACGGAGACACCCTCTTGGGTTCAGGGTGAGGGTGGGTGTTCTCCATATTTTCTAAAGGAATCAGGCTGTAGTGGAGGAGAGGACTGTCACCCTACCCTTCTGGGTTTTTCTCTGTCTGATCGAATAATTAAATTAGCATAAGACAGATTAACAGGGGGGAAAAACCAAATTTAATTTAGTTTGTTTCTATTGAGCCTGCAGGGCTTCCACTGAGTCCAGCTTGAAATAATCCACACACCAAAGTGGGACCTCTCAAGGAGGCCTCTTCTGAGTAATTGGCCGGGGGGGGGGGGTTGTCCTGTACACCCTCAGGGTGCCCTGGAGCAGTCCACACGTACGCCCTGATTTAGGGACACATTTGGAAGGAGGCAGATGAGCCTTTTGCACCTAGCCCTGTGCTCTGCCGTCCTCTTCTGACTGCATGTTCCTCCTCTCTCCACTCTGGGTCCTCTCACCCCCTTTGCAGCCTCTGCAGGGCACTTCTGAGGGAAGAGGGTACAGCCAGGGGCCCAGCAGGTAGTGGCGCTCTCCTGCAGCCTGCGTTCTAGATGGAGGAGACAGCAAACACAAGGACAGATGGTACTGAGCGAGCCAGTGTGCTCATTTGCTGTCTCTGTGCTTTTTAAAATAGGAGTTTGCCTTGGGATGCAACTAGCAGTGATCGAGTTTGCAAGGAACTGCCTTGACTTGAAAGGTACGTCTGGGATTTGCTAGTAACCTTTCATTTAAAAAAATTCTTATGACCGCAAAGATTTTCCAGCCATATCAGTGAATTATTGAACGTGTCTCTTAATCTTCAGATGCCGATTCCACGGAATTTGAGCCAAATGCCCGTGTTCCTGTGGTGAGTGGCTTGTGTATCTTTCTGGCTTGGATCATTGTCATTTTATTTCTGGCTCTTGTCTAAACTCATAAAGGGGCTGTGATTTCTTTTTTTTTTTTTTTCCCCTTACAACATCAGGACATTTTAAATTAGATATGAATTCAGTCTTTTTTTTTCTTTTCTTTTCTTTTTTTTTTTTTAAGATTTATTTATTTGTGCATACAAGAGCTGGGGGACAGGCCAGAGTTGCTGGGAGTGAGAGGATTCACCAGAGACAGAGTGGGGAGCAGAACAGGCAGATTGACCGAAGTACACTGCTGAGGGGAGCAGCGGGCTAGACAGGAGAGGTCTGCTGCGCCATGTGGGCTGCACCCTGGCCAGTCGGGTATTGAACTCGTGCTAGAGGCTGCAGACAGCTTCATAGGTTGTGTCTTAACCCCTTGTGTCACCAGGGAGGCCCTGAATTTAGTTTTTTTTTTTTTAAAGATTTATTTATTTATTTATACAAGCACTGGGTATAGTCAGAAGCGCGGGAGGGTGAGAGAATTCACCAGAGCCAGAGCGGGGAGCAGAGCAGGCAGAAGGACCGAAGGACACTGCTGAGGGGAGCAGCGGGCGGCAGGAGAGGTCTGCGCGCCATGTGGGACCCTCCTCTGGTGGCCAGGGAGCAGCCGGAAAGGTTCGGTGCGGTAAAGAAAAGGAGAGCCAGGCTAAATTTCTCAGAGGGAGGGAAAGTTTATTGCGCCCCGGGCGGACCCAAGGTGGGGGTCAGTGAAGCCGCGCACGTTGTCAGGGGAAGCAGGGTTTTATAGGGTAAGGAGAGGTCAGGTGGAAGTTGGGTTCGTATGGCGGGAAAAGTTTGTAGGGCATGAAAAGGTTCGTGGGGCAGGTAGAGGTTCTTTGTCTGAGAAGGGACTCCTAGGGGGAGGGGGCAGGCTCATTGTCTGAGTCCTCCAGGCAGGTATCCGCATTCCTGCCCCCAGGCGGGCTTCCTGGTAGGCTTTTGCATTCAGGCCTCCTGCATGGCCCTTTCACAGCCGGGGATCGAACTGGTGCTGCAGAGGCTGCGGGCAGCTTCGCAACCCAGCGCTCAACCGCTGCGCCACCGGGGAGCCCTGAATTTAGTCTTATTAGTACTCATTGTTATTATTTTTACGGCAAGCCACTTGGTTCTCAAGAGCCCGACTTGCCAGCTATGCCTTGAAGAGACACAACCCTGGACTGATTTCTCTTTGTAGCACTTTTAAGCTTAATGTTTAGGAAAGGATTAAATTGACTGTGACAACAATTTATAATGGCTAATATAAATAAATGGGCTGTCCTGTCTCTAGACTCGTCCCTCGTCTGTCTAGTTTCCACTTTGGCGGTCATCTGTCTTTTGAAAACAAAAGTGACAACCGTTTCGCTGCTCCTCATCTTCCACTGACTCCTTTTCTTGTAAAATATTCAGTCCAGGCTTTTTGGCAAAGTGCGCTGTGCTATCACCTGCTGTGTTGCTAATTCAGACAATGGTGGCCTCCCTGTCCCTCACACAGCTTCCCCCTCCCTGGAATCTCATTAAAACCACTGAAAAATTTAATTGAATAAGCAAAACCAAACCTGATGACTGGCAACTTCCTGTTCATCCTGGGAAGCCTCTCCTGACCACCTTCCTTACCCCTCTTCTGCCTTCTGTGTCTTACACCTGCCTCTAACAGGCTCCACACCAAACCGCTGTGATGGGCTTGCTTTTTCAACAGCTTTATTGAGATATAATTTACACACCATAAAATGTAGCCATTGAAAATGATGACCTTCTAGCATATTCACAGGTTTGTGCCACCATCACCGTAGTCAATTTTGGAGCTTTTTCATGAGTCCAAGAAAGAAACCCTGTGTCCTTGGCTGAACCCCCCAAGTTTCCTATCCAGTGGCGGTAGGCGACCATTCATTTGCTTTCTCTATTGATTTCCTATTGCAGACAAATGGAATCATACAATACGTGGGTTTGGTGACAGGCTTCTTTCACATAGTATCATGTCACATTCTGTCTACGTTGTAGTATCTGTCAGTACTTTGTTCCTTTGTGTTGCTGAGTAAATACTTCATTGTATGGACATACCACATTTCATTTATCCATTCCATCAGCTCGTGGACATTTGGGTTGTTCTCACGTTTTGACTTATGAATAATGCTTTGATGAACATTCTTGTACAAGTTTTTGGGTGGACATCTTTTCTTTTTTTTTTTTGGTGGACATATTTTTCATTTTGCTTGGAGTGGATGTGGGACATGTAGTCATGTGTGTTGAACCTTTTGAGGAACTGCCGGGCTGTTCTCTGAAGTTGAACATTTTACATTCCCATCAGCAGTGTAGGAGGGTTCCAACTTCTCTGCATCATCAATCCTCATTATCAGCTGTCTTTTGGATTATAGCCATCCTAGGTGTGTATATCTTCTTTGGAGAAATATCTGTTCAGATCCTTTGCTTGCTTTTAAAATGGGCTATTTTTCTTTTTATTATTAAGTTGTAAGAGTCGCCATATATTCTAGATCCCAGTTTCCTCATCAGATAGCAGATGTGCACTTTTGACATCTTGGGCAAGCTCATTCTTTGTCACAGGGGCCATCCTATGCCCTGGAAGATATTTACTAGCTTCCTTGGCCTCCACCCACTAGATGTCAATGGTACTCCTCTTAACCCCCAAGAGTGACAATGAAATTACCTCCACACTTTGTCAAACATCCCCTGGGACCCAGACGCACTAGCCCCCAGGGAGAACCACTGATTTAGAGAAATCAAGTTCTATTCCACGCCCCCCCCCATTATGACAGCCATTCATTTTTTTTTATTTTATTTAATTTTTAAAAAAAAAATTTTTATAGAGGCATGTTTTTCATTTATTTATTTGTTTGTTTATACATGCACTGGGTACAGTCAGAAGCGCGGGAGGGTGAGAGAATTCACCAGAGCCAGAGCGGGGAGCAGGGCAGGCAGAAGGACCGAGGTACACTGCTGAGGGGAGCAGCGGGCGGCAGGAGAGGTCTGCGCGCCATGTGGGACCCTCCTTCAGTGGCCGGGGAGCAGCCGGGGATCGAACCGGCGCTGCAGAGGCTGCAGGCAGCTTCGCAACACTGCGCTCAACCGCTGTGCCACCGGGGAGGCCCCCAGCCATTCATTTTTTTTAAATGGGTTAGAAGAAAGCCAGTATGTCTCCTTGTAACCCCCTCTCCTTCTTAGAAAATGTGGCACTTTTTTTTTTCTGCCTTGCCTTTTTCACATAGCACTCTATGGAGTGTACATCACTCCATGGAAGAATATAGAGATATTCTTGACTCCTTTTATAGCTCGCAATTCAGACCATAATGAACCATAACTTCCCAGCCAGATGGTCCTGTTAAATCTTATGCTCAGAAGACCCAATACTAGTGAAGAGTTCCTTATGAGGTTTTAATGGGAATATATTTCCTGATTAATGGCCGACATGGCTATGCAGGCAAACCGTGGATTCTCTTTCCTAAGATAACACTTCGGCCTGGAAAGTGATTTCACCAGTAGGTGCCACTGTTACATAGCTTTGGCAGGGTTCATTCTTCCATGACTATCCTTTACTGTGTGTTAAAAAAAAAATTATATACAGGGTAAGAAAGCCCCATAGAAAAGCTGTGAAACTCATCCGTCCCCATCTCATCTCACTTCCTTTCCCAGAGCCTTTACCCATTTCTTTGTGATGCTGCAGAAGATTGCGTGTGTGTGTCCACCTATCTATCCACACACACCTATGGACGTGTCCCCTTTTAATAAATCCGTGTGCTGGCTTGCTTGCCATACCTCCCCCCTGCTTTTTCTACAGATCATTTCACATCAGTGCGAGGGGATATTCCACAGCTCGCCCTGCTCTCTGCATCATTCTTTGCTTAATCAGCCTCATTGATGAATATTTAGGTTGTGTCCCTCATTATGCTACTTTAAATCATGCTGCAAATTAGTATCTGTGTACATATGTCTTTGTGTCCACACACACTTCAGGGCTGGATTCCTGGAAAGGGGGGGGGTGTCGCTGAGTCAGAGGAGATGATAGCTTCTGTGCTCATAAGTGAAATGAGAACAATAAAACCTCATTGCTACTGAACATCTTTATGGCCTGCAATCAGTTTGTTGGAGAAAAATAGCCTTAAGAGCCAGCATTTGTGACGGTGGTGGGAAGTCTTATTAAAGAAAAAAGACTAGGGGAATACAATCAGAAGGCAACAAACACCAGGAAGCCTGGGGATTCACTTAAACGAGCAAAATAACAATGACTTACAGTGGGAATGGTCATTTTGACCTTTCTCGCTAAAACAGTAAACAGTTTTGGGAAACCGAAGCCTCCTTTAGGGTATATTTGCTATTAAAATCTGTTTTGTGTGTGGGTTAGGAAAAATAATTTTTCCGCTACCCTTCCAAGTTCCCGACTGTGACCCCAGGCGGGAGAAAAACAGGCAGAAGTTTAATAGCACGTACGCCTCCTGTACACCTGAAGAGGCCCAGGAACTCAAGTTACCTCCCTGAATTCGGCAAGTCCTCATCTTAAGTACCATTTTCAGCTAAACACGAAAGAAGCCGGAGGAAAGTCAATTTTGGAAGGTTAGTGGGAGAGATACAGTAAACTAAGGCCTGTTTGTTATGCAGATTTAAGTTGCTGCCTTCTCCACTGATGCATTCCTAGGAATTTAGTCCTCTTCCTGGTCTTAGAGGGAGACACCTTTACAAATGGAGATTTCCTTTATAAATGTAAATGTTCTTCACAATACAGTAACTTTCACTCAGGGTTTGGGGCTTCTCCTACATCTGCAGTTTCTTAAAAACTCAAGATAATCCTTAAATAGCTCAAGATAATCCTTCTGCCACAGAGGCTTATTTTGGGGTGGTATACTCTGCTTCTCTTCACGTGCCTTCGGACCCTTCTTTTGTCATGCATGATTAGTGTGTCATGGTTGCTTTGAAGATCACTAGAGACGTTGGCATGCCGGACAGGTACCTAAGAGGTATCCGATCACAT